CGTCTATTCTAAAATAAATCAGTGCACGGGTTAAGCAGTACAGGAACATATTTTCTAGATGAACAATGATTGGCTCAACATGATGCTCAAGTCACCTTGACCTTTTCAGTCTCAGAGTAGATTTACATTAGTGTTAATCTCAGCATACATTTCCATTAGCGATAAGATAATCTCAGCATACATTTCCATTAGCGTTAATCCCAGCATACATTTCCATTAGCGATAATCTCAGCATACATTTCCATTAGCGTTTATCTCAGCATACATTTCTATTAGCGTTAATCTCAGCATACATTTCCATTAGCGTTTATCTCAGTATACATTTCCATTAGCGATAATCTCAGCATACATTTCCATTGGGGGAGGGGGGAATCTCAACACATCGGATGACGGGTAGTGTGGTGTAGATGTGGATGTGAATGAAGTGTAATATGATGCTGATGACGCGCAGTGTGGTGTAGATGTAGATGTGAATGAAGTGTAATATGATGCTGATGACGCGCAATGTGGTGTAGATGTGAATGAAGTGTAATGTGATGCTGATGACGGGCAGTGTGGTGTAGATGTAGATGTGAATGAAGTGTAATATGATGCTGATGACGGGCAGTGTGGTGTAGATGTGGATGTGCATGAAGTGTAATATGATGCTGATGACGCGCAGTGTGGTGTAGATGTGAATGAAGTGTAATGTGATGCTGATGACGGGCAGTGTGGTGTAGATGTGGATGTGCATGAAGTGTAATATGATGCTGATGACGGGCAGTGTGGTGTAGATGTTGATGTGAATGAAGTGTAATATGATGCTGATGACGGGCAGTGTGGTGTAGATGTAGATGTGCATGAAGTGTAATATGATGCTGATGACGGGCAGTGTGGTGTAGATGTGAATGTGCATGAAGTGTAATATGATGCTGATGACGGGCAGTGTGGTGTAGATGTGAATGTGCATGAAGTGTAATATGATGCTGATGACGGGCAGTGTGGTGTAGATGTGGTGTGCATGAAGTGTAATATGATGTTGATGTCGGGTAGGTGGTGTAGATGTAGATGTGAATGAAGTGTAATATGATGCTGATGACGAATCGTGTGGTGTAGATGTAGATGTGAATGAAGTGTAATATGATGCTGATGACGGGCAGTGTGGTGTAGATGTGGATGTGTATGAAGTGTAATATGCTGCTGATGACGCGCAGTGTGGTGTAGATGTGAATGAAGTGTAATATGATGCTGATGACGGGCAGTGTGGTGTAGATGTGGATGTGTATGAAGTGTAATATGATGCTGATGACGCGCAGTGTGGTGTAGATGTGAATGAAGTGTAATATGATGCTGATGACGGGCAGTGTGGTGTAGATGTGGATGTGGATGAAGTGTAATATGATGCTGATGACGCGCAGTGTGTTGTAGATGTGAATGAAGTGTAATATGATGCTGATGACGGGCAGTGTGGTGTAGATCTGGATGTGCATGAAGTGTAATATGATGCTGATGACGGGCAGTGTGGTGTAGATGTGGATGTGCATGAAGTGTAATATGATGCTGATGTCGGGCAGTGTGGTGTAGATGTGGACGTGCATGAAGTGTAATATGATGCTGATGACGGGCAGTGTGGTGTAGATGTAGATGTGAATGAAGTGTAATATGATGCTGATGACGGGCAGTGTGGTGTGATGTGGATGTGCATGAAGTGTAATATGATGCTGATGACGCGCAGTGTGGTGTAGATGTGAATGAAGTGTAATATGATGCTGATGACGGGCAGTGTGGTGTAGATGTGGATGTGTATGAAGTGTAATATGATGCTGATGACGGGCAGTGTGGTGTAGATGTGGATGAAGTGTAATATGATGATGATGACGGGCAGTGTGGTGTAGATGTGGATGTGTATGAAGTGTAATATGATGCTGATTACGCGCAGTGTGGTGTAGATGTGAATGAAGTGTAATATGATGCTGATGACGGGCAGTGTGGTGTAGATGTGGATGTGCATGAAGTGTAATATGATGCTGATTACGCGCAGTGTGGTGTAGATGTGGATGTGTATGAAGTGTAATATGATGCTGATTACGCGCAGTGTGGTGTAGATGTGAATGAAGTGTAATATGATGCTGATGACGGGCAGTGTGGTGTAGATGTAGATGTGAATGAAGTGTAATATGATGCTGATGACGGGCAGTGTGGTGTAGATGTGGATGTGTATGAAGTGTAATATGATGCTGATGACGGGCAGTGTGGTGTAGATGTGGATGTGTATGAAGTGTAATATGATGCTGATGACGCGCAGTGTGGTGTAGATGTGAATGAAGTGTAATATGATGCTGATGACGGGCAGTGTGGTGTAGATGTGGATGTGCATGAAGTGTAATATGATGCTGATGACGCGCAGTGTGGTGTAGATGTGAATGAAGTGTAATATGATGCTGATGACGGGCAGTGTGGTGTAGATGTAGATGTGAATGAAGTGTAATGTGATGCTGATGACGGGCAGTGTGGTGTAGATGTAGATGTGAATGAAGTGTAATATGATGCTGATGACGGGCAGTGTGGTGTAGATGTGGATGTGCATGAAGTGTAATATGATGCTGATGACGCGCAGTGTGTTGTAGATGTGAATGAAGTGTAATATGATGCTGATGACGGGCAGTGTGGTGTAGATGTGGATGTGTATGAAGTGTAATATGATGCTGATGACGCGCAGTGTGGTGTAGATGTGAATGAAGTGTAATATGATGATGATGACGGGCAGTGTGGTGTAGATGTGGATGTGTATGAAGTGTAATATGATGCTGATGACGCGCAGTGTGGTGTAGATGTGAATGAAGTGTAATATGATGCTGATGACGGGCAGTGTGGTGTAGATGTGGATGTGCATGAAGTGTAATATGATGCTGATGACGCGCAGTGTGGTGTAGATGTGAATGAAGTGTAATATGATGCTGATGACGGGCAGTGTGGTGTAGATGTGGTGTGCATGAAGTGTAATATGATGTTGATGTCGGGTAGGTGGTGTAGATGTAGATGTGAATGAAGTGTAATGTGATGCTGATGACGGGCAGTGTGGTGTAGATGTAGATGTGAATGAAGTGTAATATGATGCTGATGACGGGCAGTGTGGTGTAGATGTGGATGTGCATGAAGTGTAATATGATGCTGATGACGCGCAGTGTGTTGTAGATGTGAATGAAGTGTAATATGATGCTGATGACGGGCAGTGTGGTGTAGATGTGGATGTGTATGAAGTGTAATATGATGCTGATGACGCGCAGTGTGGTGTAGATGTGAATGAAGTGTAATATGATGCTGATGACGGGAAGTGTGGTGTAGATGTGGTGTGCATGAAGTGTAAGATGATGCTGATGACGGGCAGTGTGGTGTAGATGTGGATGTGAATGAAGTGTAATATGATGCTGATAACGAGCAGTGTGGTGTAGATGTGGATGTGAATGAAGTGTAATATGATGCTGATGACGGGCAGTGTGGTGTAGATGTGGATGTGAATGAAGTGTAATATGATGCTGATGACGGGCAGTGTGGTGTAGATGTGGATGTGTATGAAGTGTAATGTGATGCTGATGACGGGCAGTGTGGTGTAGATGTGAATGAAGTGTAATATGATGATGATGACGCGCAGTGTGGTGTAGATGTGGATTTGAATGAAGTGTAATATGATGCTGATGACGGGCAGTGTGGTGTAGATGTGGATGTGAATGAAGTGTAATATGATGCTGATGACGGGCAGTGTGGTGTAGATGTGGATGTGTATGAAGTGTAATGTGATGATGATGACGGGCAGTGTGGTGTAGATGTGAATGAAGTGTAATATGATGATGATGACGCGCAGTGTGGTGTTGATATCTGTGGCGTGTTCTGTGCTGTTGATGTGAATCGTTTTCGGCATTCGATTCTTAATTCTATTTTTTTATTCAACCATCAATGACGCTATTCTAACCCAAAACCTGCATACGCCTCTGCTGAGGTGTGACACTGTTTTAGGTGGGTCTCGTTTTTGTGACTGTATGACCATAGGAAAAGGGGGGGGGGGGGAGTTAGGAGTAAAAAAAAAGTCTTTGCTAGCGTGGCGTCGTTTATGGGCTACTACCCTTTTTTTTTTTACCCCTCTAACCTTACCCGCGTCTAGTCTAAAATAAATCAGTGGACGGGTTAAGCAATACAGGAACACATTTTCTAGATGAACAATTAGTGGCTCAACATGAAGCTCAAGTTACCTGGACCTTTTCAGTCTCAGCATACATTTCCATCTGCGTAAATCTCATCATACATTTCCATCTGCGTTAATCTCATCATACATTTCCATCTGCGTTAATCTCATCATACATTTCCATCTGCGTTAATCTCATCATAAATTTCCATCTGCGTTAATCTCATCATAAATTTCCATCTGCGTTAATCTCATCATACATTTCCATCTGCGTTAATCTCATCATACATTTCCATCTGCGTTAATCTCATCATACATTTCCATCTGCGTTAATCTCATCATACATTTCCATCTGCGTTACATTTCCATTAGCGTTTATCTCAGCATACATTTCCATTAGCGATAATCCCAGCATACATTTCCATTAGCGTTTATCTCAGCACACATTTCCATTAGCGTTTATCTCAGCATACATTTCCATTAGCGTTTATCTCAGCATACATTTCCATTAGCGTTTATCTCAGCATACATTTCCATTAGCGTTTATCTCAGCATACATTTCCATTAGCGTTTATCTCAGCATACATTTCCATTAGCGTTTATCTCAGCATACATTTCCATTAGCGTTTATCTCAGCATACATTTCCATTAGCATTTATCTCAGCATAGGCCTTACATTTTCATTAGCGATAATCTCAGCATACATTTCCATTGGGGAGGGGGGGGGGGATCTCAACACATCGGATTTAATGACGTCATCGGTTCTCGCAGACTTGTCTGAATTAAGCCCGATGTTATAATTTTATGAATGACCTTTTTTTTCCCTTTTCTCTCCCTCTTTCAGAAAACGTTTCTTATTATCCAGCGGGAACAGGGATAAAAAACGTTCAAAGAACACTTCACTCCCGAACGATGGAATGTCGGACAAAAAGCAAAACAGGAAAAAGAAAGAGAATAATATATCGGAAGAAAATATGGTGTTCAGTAGCGATATTCAGCAGAATGGGAACATCGCCGATAGCCTTGACATTCAAGAGAAGCTGCTGGGGTTGGGAGGTCAAGTGTCGGAAATGTCAGAGGTCGTGGCCAAAACGAGGGCCGAGCTGGACGAGGCGCGGATGGAGATAGCCAAAGTGAACGCCATGTTTGTCGTCCTGTTTCAGACGCTGGACGAGGGGAAGAGGGGCGTGGTCAACATCGCCCTTCAACTCAAGCAGGCCGTGCACGAGGAAGGGAACAAGGTCATGGACGAGCTGAGGTTGACCTCGCGAGAAATCATCGCTTTAGTGGAAAACAAAGAAGAGGAGGAGGCGTATGAGTAAGAAGTGAACGCGATAAGAAGATACAGGTTGCATTGATGTGAAGAGGGAATTGGTGGGAGTGTGGTACATCCAAGAACCATTTATTATTCGTACCTGGAGAATATTTCCAATGTTAGGCCCAGTTCAAACAGACATTAAACATCTATTACATCTTGTATCGTAATGGCTTTAATTTTATTATGAAAAATGGTTCTTGAGGAGAGGGTCCTTAAAATGACGTCCCCTCCCCATAAAAAAATTGCAGTTTTGTCTGAAATTCGGTCAACATAAGTTTCTTAACGAATTTGTATTACAATTTACATTAACCGTTTTTTAAAACGCGAATTAACGGCTAAAATTCAGTCTCGAACATTTCTTTTGTAAAATCGAAAAGTGGGACTTGTCATTATCTAAATCCCCCCCCTCCATCTCGTCATTTACAAAATTACGCCCCCCGCAATCTAGGAATGTGACGTCATTAATGTGTGACCCCTTACTTAAAAAAGTCATTGAAGATTTACAGAAGAAAAATCATTTAGAGACAAAGGTTCCCTATTACACACCGCAATCTCCATAGAGCAGATGTTTGTGGTTACAGAATTAAGCAGTTTGTGCAGTGAAAAATCTGACCTTTTAGTTCCCATGATTTTTAACATATTTTTACCCCCATGTTATATAAGCTTTCATTAAAGATGGGGTTCTTTTTTAAATTAAGACAGAACAAAATGAAAACAATTTTATATTTTAATCAGTATAATTACAGATTAAGGCATTGTGTTTATACAATTTTAACATGGCAAACATTACTCTAGGAATTATTTTTCCACACAACTGTGATTATAATATTGTTTGTATTCTCATTTCATACATAGCTAAAAAAAACATGCACTCAGCAATATTTCCATTGTTTTCATAGTAAATGCAAATCAAACTTCTGGTCATCAGTTGATCTTAGACTAGAGAGCTCAAAAACAAGGGAAACAACCATTATAAATGTTTTTGTCCAGCAAATTATCAACAATATATTTTATTTTACAATACCGAAAATAAAAACAAATTAAATTTACAACAATCAAAATCAACTTGAGTTACATTAATATTCCATGTATCTTATATTTTATAAGATGCATTAATTTGAATTAAAATAAGACATTTTGATATTGGAGTACATTCTGATTTAACGTTTCTTCTAATATCCCAAATCTTGAATACAAACCAACAAGTAATACACTAGAGATTCAAACTTATTGACTGCCCTACATAATCCCATTAACAAAGGCAAACAAAATGACTAACTGACTGCATTATAGAAGTCTGTGTAAACTAATCACTTGTGAAGGCCTGAAGACCAGTGATGGCACGACCAAGAATAAGGGCATGGATATCATGTGTACCTGAATGTAAACACAATATTACTGCAATAAATAGTTTTTTAAAAATTAGTTGGGGTTTTGAAATCTCATCACTACATTGTAATAAGATGAAATATGTTTAAACCCATGAGTTTTACACAACCTGTATTATACAGGTGCCGGTAACTGGGTAAATGGGTGGTGTGGGTTCAAATCCTACAGTCAACAGGTAGATAGTAGGGTGTGGCTAGCACAAGGTAGTTAATCTGGGTTTAAATGGGTGATGTGGGCTCAATTCTAAAGCAACAGGCAAATTGTATTGCATGGCCAGGGCAATTCCCTCTCCCCTAAAATGTTCATTGGGTTGGTTTTACGGACTTGTAAATAAAATCCTGTTCTTAAACCCAAGCCTTAAGTAGTGACCATACACCATGGCCACACCATCCACAAAAATTATGTAATATTTGGTGAGTGTAAAACCTACCCTCATAAGTGTAAAAAAAAACCTACCCTCGCAAGTGTAAAAAAAACCTACCCTCATAAGTGTAAAAAAAAACCTACCCTCTTAAGTCTAAAATAAAAAAACCTACCCTCATAACTGTAAAAAAAAAACCTACCCTGATAAGTGCAAAAAAAAAAACCTACCCTCGTAACTGTAAAAAAAAAACCTACCCTCGTAAGTGTTGACAGCCTCTAGGTTCATCACATGTCTGATCACATGATACTCATCAGAAATCCCGTTCCCACCCAGCATGTCTCTGGCCTGTCTGGCTATGTCCAGTGATTTACCACAGTTGTTCCTCTTCAGCAGTGATATCATTTCAGGTGTGGCCCTAAAAAATTTTTCACAATGGTGAAGCTGTTAGTTGTAATTTCATTTAAAACAAAAAATATTATATTACCAAATCTACTTGCAGAAATGATTATTTCTTTTTTACACAAGTTACAAAGCAATGCTAAATTATGTCAGTTCTTTGCGCAGAGATGACTATTTCTAACAGACAAAATGTAAAGTATGTTAAATGATTTAATTTTATTGCTTGTAGACATGGCAATCTCTACTTACAAGCCTTTGTCCTTAAGACGACCCACTTGTAAACAACCAAAAAGTCCCAAGGAAATTTCAGTCAACATGTCAGCCATTTTCTTTTGTATCAGCTGGTTTTTAGCTAAAGGTTTTCCAAATTGTATCCTGTGGGTAAGATGGTGATGTTTATTGGCTGTATAAAGTAATAATGTTTATGGAAAATGCAGGTTATTGTTTTACTCTTTAATGTTAATTATAGGTAGAAAGCAATGTTTTGTGTCACAAATTAATTAAAAGTTGTCACATGTCTAGGTCACATGTCCTCACCTGCGTCACATGTCCTCACCTGTGTCAAATGTCCTCACCTGCATCACATGTCCTCACCTGCGTCAAATGTCCTCACCTAAGTCACATGTCCTCACCTGTCTAAGTCACATGTCCTCACCTAAGTCACATGTCCTCACCTAAGTCACATGTCCTCACCTAAGTCACATGTCCTCACCTGCGTCAAATGTCCTCACCTAAGTCACATGTACTCACCTGTCTAAGTCACATGTCCTCACCTAAGTCACATGTCCTCACCTAAGTCACATGTCCTCACCTAAGTCACATATCCTCACTTAAGTCACATGTCCTTGCCTAAGTCACATATCCTCACCTAAGTCACATGTCCTTGCCTAGGTCACATGTCCTCACCTATCTAAGTCACATGTCCTGACCTGTCTAAGTCACATGTCTTCATCTGTCTCTCACATGTCCTCACCTAAGTCACATATCCTCACTTAAGTCACATGTCCTTGCCTAAGTCACATATCCTCACCTAAGTCACATGTCCTTGCCTAGGTCACATGTCCTCACCTATCTAAGTCACATGTCCTGACCTGTCTAAGTCACATGTCTTCATCTGTCTCTCACATATCCTCACCTAAGTCACATGTCCTCACCTGTCTAAGCCACATGTCCTCACCTGTCTAGAGTGTACTGTCTTGCTGTTTCCAGACAAAACTCAGCAGCTCCCAGAGTCCCCCAAGCAATCCCAAATCTGGCGTTGTTTAAACACCCAAATGGACCCTGGCAAAAAATAATTCTGTTAGGTAAAAGCTCAAGAGGTAGAAACATTTAAAATATAGAAATGTTTCAAAATTCTTTCATTTTCTTAGTGTTTAAAAAAAAAAAAACAATGGGCAACAACAGAGACATCTGAGATTTTTTCAACTAATAAACTACTAGTGCTTAAAGATAAAATATTCAAGTAAATAGTTTTCCTCTTTTAATAACTTGATATAGATCTGGTTATTGTAAGGCATTACATGTATACGACCGGTAGTAAAAAAAATGTTAAGGAAAACAAGGAACATATTTTAAACTTTTCCGCTATCTTTATAAAGAGTGGCTGTCTACATTGAATGATACAATATCAAGAATTTAAAATGGAAGAAAATAAAATAAAAACTCTTTTTGTAAAATATTCAATTAATGTATAACCTATCACAGCCCTAACGGCTACGCTACTTACCGCAAGACCAGATGCGTTGGGTAACAAGTTAGCCTCCGGCACTTCAACATCTTCCATCACAATCTGCCCAGTGATGCTGGCACGCAACGAAAACTTCCCTTCGATTTTAGGTGCGCTTAAGCCTTTCATCCCTTTCTCCAAAATAAACCCACGGATTTTGTTCTTGTCAGCATCGGATTTTGCCCAGACAACAAAAACATCAGCAATAGGCGAACTTGTGATCCTGGTAGTTAAGTGAATAAATAACACAATTGGTGCAACAGTAAATATAGCTGGTTAATAACAATAAAAGAGGATGAATCAATGCAAAAAAAAAAAGCTAAAATTTCTATTAGAAAGTTTACCCCTAGAAGGAACAGGCATTAAAAATATCCACACTATTTTAGCTTGTTTAAACGGCCATGTTTTCCTTCCATATTGTAACCACATTCAAATTAAAACAAGATATTTTATTAAACTATCTATGTCCAGTGATTTACCAGTGGGTAACAAAAGGGCGTTCAAAATAAGTTTTAAAAGGGGAGGTCATCCTGACAATGCAGGCATAGAGCCATCAGTCAAATAAATTATTGAAGGACTTGCACAGGTAGGTCTACATATACCTAATATTTCACACATTCCAATGATTAATCTGACTTTTAATTAATTGTCCTTGTGCTTGTTTCTATGCGATAGCAAATTAGAAAACAAGAAATTGAAAATGTTTTTTTATTGACAAACCAATTTTCAAACACAGAAATTAGGCCCACTGAAATTTGTTTACTGATATGGGTAGTTCCAAAATAGTCCATTTTTGTGAACATGTGTGAAGTGAATTTTTTTTTTTAAAGTCATAAATGGATGACCCCCTAAGTAAGCATACCGAAGAGAAAAAAAAAGTCTTACCATGACTTAGTACCATTCAGCTTGTATGTTTTATTCTGTGAGTTGTACTTAGCTGTGGTTTCCATTCCACTGGGATTGCTGCCGTGGTTTGGTTCGGTGAGGCCAAAGCATCCAATCAATTCACCACGGGCTGGAATACAAGAATTAAGCATGTTCAAGTGTTAAAATAATTTTTCAATAAAAGGTAAGAAAAATATTTAATAAAAAAAAAAGATTTGATTAAAAGTCGCAAAGAAATAACTATGGTCTAGACTTACCTAATTTGGGAAGATATTTCTGTCTCTGTTCTTCTGAGCCGTAGGCATATATGGGCCACATGACCAGACTGGACTGGACACTCATGGCTGACCTGTAGCTGCTGTCAACTCTGTGGAGGGAGACAAGACCAGGTAGCTAGAGCACAGAAACTCACACGGCTGCTGCAGTTTTTAATTGTACTCAGTTGAAGTAACCTAACCTTATAAACTAATACTATTTCATTACTTTGGTAGTTATCGGAATATAGAAACATATAGCACAAGAAGGTGGTACCAGTCAGACCATACAAGTTTCTTGTATTCAACTACAAACAGCATATGTTACCTCTCTAACTCTCTGGTGATCAGACCATAGCCAACAGATGAAAGGCCAGCACACCCATAGCCTGTGATGGTTGGACCCAAAACTCCAAGCTCACCCATCTCACGCATAATGGCAGGGTCAAAAGCTGGGGATAAAAAGTATGACCATTTAAACATTGAATTGCAAAATATAACCAGCAAAACAGAGAATTAAAAAATAAAACATATTTAACATTGATCAGGCATAAAAACTTTAAAAAGAAATTATAGTGAGGAAAACCTAATTGCAGGATAAAAAAAACCTCTAGTTAACAGATAATAAATAAATTCAAATAAATAAGAAAGAGATTTTAGCACAATTCTCCTTAAAATTACTGTAAATCTTCAAATGTATAAAAAAAACTTAGATGAAAGAACTAAAGCTTTCATCACTTGAGCTTTTTAAATTTTAAAACATAACATTATATAAACTATAATCAGGGTTCATGCACTTAAGTTGAAAACATATTTCATGAGTTTTACAGAACCTTTTGGAAAATTAGAACAATGCACAAACCATGTTTAACCCATAAGAAATAATGGCATTAATCTCAACTCACTTTCATTTCGGTTGGCCAATGTAATCCTTGGCATGAGTTTCTGCTGACAGTATGCTTTGAACTGATCTTTGACTATGATCTCCTCTTCTGTCAGACAATGCTCCAAGTTCAGTGCATCCTTCCAGTTGAATGTTGCTAGGGGAGGGTAAACATATCATTAGTGTCTACTTGTAAGTCATTAGTTAATGACAATAAAAGTTTTAAATAACATGGATTTCATTGTAATCTTGAATGAAACAATACAAATTTAAAGCAAGCATTGTCCTAAAATGACCTAATGAAAAACTCTAAAAGATTATAAATATTAGTTTTAAAATCACTTTTAGTTATTTGTTGTGTGATTAGAAAACATGCAACATGCCATTTTTGCCTATTTTAAAATTTTAGTATTTAACATAAATGATGTAAAAAGAAGTAGAAATAATAAGTTAAAAAAAATCAAACCATTTTCTTGTTTTCCCTCTTTGCTCTGTTCCTCTGTTTATTTACTCAAGGAGAATTTTTGAATAAAATTGAACTAAGTAGGCCTAAAATTGTCAAAATATTATGACCAATGCAGTAGAATAATAATAATAGTAGGCCTAGAAAGCCGTCTATTAAAAAAATATGTATATCAACATGATAATTAAATTAACTTTTGGCCTACACTATTCCAAAGCAAAATATAACCCATTACTTAAGTTACACATCCATTACAAGTTAAGAGGAGATGAAATTTGAATAAAATTCATTTTCATGCATCTAAGCTTCCATATTTATTATTTTGTCTGCAGAACTTGAAAGTTAGTTTTTTAGTTTGACACTGTCAGTGATACAATCTGTTCACTGCTGAGACTGACTAGGTCTACTTATACAATGGCCAAGTAGATCTAGTTCTATTCTATAAGCCTAATTAACCACAGTCGAGTAGCCTACTACAAGATATCATCTTTTCCTTTTTGTGCCCAAGACATGCAGTGCTGCCACAGAAAGCTTCCTTCCACTTTTGTCTGCAACCAGCAATTCTCCCAGCAGTCCCATATGACTGTCCTGCCTCTGCCAGCTGGTTGCCTGCCATGTGCCTTCATTGGCCCGCCTGCTTTATTTTTTCTTGAGGCATCCAGTTTAGAGCCATTCCTGTGCTATCTGGATTCATTCTATCACCATGTTTTTTAAAAATTATTTCAGAAACTGCTTCCATTTCCATCAGTAGGCTAACATTGGAGAAGGCGTTAGGCCAGTGTGAGTGCTTTGCAAGCACTTTTAGTTTGGAAAGAGTCCAACAACAAAATACTATTTATTTAGTTAATATATAATTAGGCCTAGGGCCTTTAAACAACAGTTAGGCCTATAGATTTACTTAATTATTTTAATCTAGTATTTCTTCCAGATTTTTTTCTCGGGGGAAGGGGGGAGGGGAAGATGGGACGGAAGACTGTTAAAAGTATATGTTTTCTATATAAATATAGGATGATATTTAGAATCGACCCTTTGAATCCCGGACAGATCGTCCCCGCAAAGTGATGCCTGGAAGAAACTCTGCCCCTACCCCACCAGTCTGGTGAGCTGTTTTCAATTAGTGATGCCTATTAGGGGCAGATAATGTAGTTTTTAAGCGATTTGAAACTTAGGGAGGTAATATAAAGTTATGCTGGATCTTTTCATTGTTGTCTATAATCTGTCATCACGGGGGGGGGGGGGGTCTGCTTTCACGGGGCAGGGGGAGGAAAGAGGAGTAGAAAGGGTGCGGATAATCGTCCTTCATGAGCTTCTGATAGTGCTTAAGCAAATATTTTCAGTAGCAGCATTCATTGGTAGATCTAGTCAAAATCTAGTGAATTCTAGTGTCGAATTCACAAAATAATTAAATCTATCGATGATTCATTATGAATAAAGAAAAGTAGAAAATAAAACAACTAAATAGCTGCGCATGCTTACTTATCACACGTCGGCTCGTATTATATAACTTGGCTACACAAACAACACGGCGGACTGTGTATCTAACTAACTAGTAGATTTTCTAGATCTAGAAATCTAGATCTAGATCTAGATAATCTAGATCTAGTCTGAGTAGAGTTCAGGTTCTAGAGTAGGTCTAACAAAAAAAACTAACAATATTTATTTTGTTTCACTTAGGACTTAGCCTACAGCCGTTATCATTTATTTAGAAACTAGATCTACAGGTTTCTTACGTTAAGGAAAAGTATAAAAGGATACTGCCAGCAGAAGCTGCTGCTGTATTTTTTGAGCGTCTTAAAATATCAATAAAACCTCTTTTACAGTTACGTAAGACGTAGCTCTGAATTGTTGCCATTTTGCAAGGGTAAACTACGAATAAGGGTAGGTTACTACAAGTATTAAACATATTTTAAAGTGACTAGAGTTATCCGCCAGTGTACCAGGATTACCCCTCGCCAACAGCATTAGCCCAATGGATGCGGTGTATTATATTGGGGGACATCCATAAAGCACGACACGCTTTTTTGGGACGATTTTTACCTTTTCCCCTCCCCTCCGTCACAAAAAGCCACACACCCCTAAAATGACGTCACATCTCAGCCTACAACCCCCCCCCCCCTCCAAACTTGCAGTTGAATTTTTCTTAAAACATCGATAATTTGTCCAAAATCTTGTCTGAGCTCTGTCAACATTAGAGTATTTTAATCAATTTCTATTACAATTTATTAAAACAGTTTTCTAAAACGCGAAGTAACGTTGTTTTTTAATAATGCAAAAGTGTGACACCATATCTGAACACCCCCCCCCATTACACACCATCACAAAATTACGGACCCCCCCCCCCCCCCCCACATATTTGGACGACCCCATTTGAAAATTGTTTTAATTTTTACTTCTAAATTTTTGTTTTAGAGAAAATAAAGCCATTAAAGTTGCAGATTACTGTATCGGTGTAGGCTATTGATCTAGTACCGTTTTCCATTACTCAAGTCTTTTTGTTTCTTACAGGGATTGTTCGGGATAGGCCTACTCATAGGTTTTTTTTTGTGACGCGTGAAGAGGTGGGTGGGTTGACCTAAAGGGCTAATGCAAAGAAAAAAAAACCTAATTTTTCTTTAGAAATTTTGTAATGTGGATGGGGGGGGGGGGGGGTACGAAGACAACTTTTTGAGGTCTAACCAAAAAAAAAGGGGAAGGGAGGTAAACGTGGGTGGGTGAAAGGCTGTCTAAAAAGCGAGACATAATTAATTAACAATGACCCCTCCTTAAAAACGATTGTTAATTACGCTTAAGCACATATTTAGGCTAATTCATTCATTAGGCACATTGTTTTGATGAATCATTAAAGCATTATTTTTTTAAAAAATAAATATTTCACCAAAGCAATCCATTTCTAATAGGGCCTTGATATATATAGCTATAATAAATGGACATTGTTTTTTTAAATCATAGTTTTCCTAGTTGTTGACGTTGGTGAAATTATATAAACTGATATAATGAAATTATCAATTTTTAACAGACAGACTACACACAATTTTTCTTAAGAAAATATTGGGCCAACAAAACAAGGAGGGAATATTTTTTTTAATATTGGAAGATGTAATAGACATGATTCTGATGTATTTACACAAATCAATCTTTTTTTAAATTGTAGTAAACAAATTCGGATGTTATATAATAAATACATACAATCTCTCTCATGTAAAATAAAGCAAATCAATGTATCTGGAGATTACATTAAGCCACAAAAACATTCAATTTTACAATTTTTGATCAGATATTCTATTGCACACTCTAAAATGAATGCCATAGAACAACAAGGTCACAAAGTAAATCCATTTTGCTTTTGATTTTTGTTACACACATTAATGTTTTCAAAAATATTTTTGTTCTAGTTATAACATAAAACCAGTTCCGATGGTTCTTAAAAATCCACATAAATGAACATTATCTATCACTCGCAGCCAAAGGCGTCGTCACAAGTCCAAGGACGGTGCCAGCATCACTTGTTGATGACATGGTGTGGCAGCAGGGTCATCTTACTCTTGAACTCACACATGTCTGTGATGTAGTTGACCCCCAGGTTCTGTAGCTCTACCAGGTCAGTCTTTGATGTGACCTTACACAGGGGCCTCATGGTGATGGCTGACTTGATGGCAGCTTTAAACTCTTTGATGCCTGTCCTGATGGTTTTCAGGGAAGGTTCCATGTCAGTGGGGGCGTCGCCGCAGCTGACTTTAGATCTACTGCAGCCTTCAATCTGTGGGGTTAAAAAAGATATGAGCTTGTTTTGAAGCTTGTGTTTGGATTGCCAGGTGGTTTTCAACTTTGTTACCATGTTTGAGAAGTTGGGGAAAAAAAAGTTGACAGCAAAAGTGACAAAAGCTGTGACAATTAATGATGACATTGATAGGTTTAACTCGGGATACTATGAACAATGTTTCTTTCAGCTTTCAAGCATCTCTAAGGGGGGGGGGGGGTGTAGGTGCAGTTGGGTTGGTTAAGATCATGGTTGCTAAACTAAATAGTCCAGGTGTGAAGTACTTATATTCTGCACTATTATACACAGATTGTTTGCATTTCACTTAATGAGCAATTATTTTTTTCTATCATATTCTATTTTATTTTAAAAATGTTAAGTAATTAAAAATTGAATAAAAATCATGTCAATATCCAGAGTTGCCATCCCTTGTAGTCTTTTATAAGTATACGAGCCGACCCCCGGCGTATCATACGCTGCTATTTAGTTATTTATTTTCTACTTTTCAGTAATTCATAATTTGTGATTTCGACAGTACCAATGCTGCCACTGAATATATTTGCTTTAAAACACTATCAGTAGCTTGTTAAGGATGATACCCCCCCCCCCTTCTTTCCCCAACCCCCCACCCCTGAAAGCAGCCTCCTCTTAGTTACTTCCCCTAAGTTTAAAATCGTTTCAAACTAAATTATCTGCCCCTAATAGCCGTCACTAAACCCGGCTCTAAAATTGTAAACATTTAGCGTGAACCACAGCTCACCAGACCATGTAGGGGTGGGGGTGGTAGGGAGCGCGCTTACAGCTTGTTTTCTAACGTCTCCAAGAAGAGAATTATATATATATATAGATTCAAGAAAGTTTAGAGGAGATCACTCCTGCTTTATTTCCCTTAACTTCACTCCCATCTAAAGAATGTATCATGAATATAAAAGTACTTTCGGTACGTGTTGCCTTAGCTGGGATATGGATGCAAACTAAAAACAAGTGAGCAATTTATTTACTTTATTACACATACAGAAGAACAATTTTTGCCTTACAGTCTAGAAACTGCTACTCTACAAATTGGCAATTTCTAATCCCTTATAAAAAAAAAATGAAGTTTGACACGACTCACCATAACAGACAACTTCCTTTGTTTGTTTGAGATCAGTTGCTTATACCAGTTGAGAAGGTCTTTCTGTGTCAGCTGTTGCAAGGCTTCATACTGAAATAGAAGATTCATGGGTCAAGTGGGGCTGTTTACACTTTGTACAGTGAACCGCAAGTGAAGTAGAGTTAGTCTGTTTTAGAGATAGTGTGGTCAGTTGAGTGGACGACATCCCTCCCCCATCAGCTGAACAACATCCCCTCATCTTTTGTTGTCTTGCCATTTAATAACTTAAACTGTAACCATAACAAAAACCAGAACTCTAACATTGCCTTTTGATTAAAGTTAGTTTAACGTTAGGAGTAGGGTCAATTTGTTATCGACAAGAGAGTAAAGTAGTACTACAGTTGTTTTGGCTGGGGTAAGTGATAGGGGTAAATGTCCTGCTCACTGGTCAGTTTTATTCCCAGCCGCTTGCACTAAAGATAGTCAGGTACTCATCAGAGCTGGGTGCTCATTGATGACCCATGGTCAGTTTTATGCCCAGCTGCTTGCACTAAAGATAGTCAGGTACACATCAGAGCTGGGTGCTCATTGATGACCCATGGTCAGTTTTATGCCCAGCTGCTTGCACTAAAGATAGTCAGGTACTCATCAGAGCTGGGTGCTCATTGATGACCCATGGTCAGTTTTATGCCCAGCCGCTTGCACTAAAGATAGTCAGGTACTCATCAGAGCTGGGTGCTCATTGATGACCCATGGGTCAGTTTTATGCCCAGCCGCTTGCACTAAAGATAGTCAGGTACTCATCAGAGCTGGGTGCTCATTGATGACCCATGGTCAGTTTTATGCCCAGCTGCTTGCACTAAAGATAGTCAGGTACTCATCAGAGCTGGGTGCTCATTGATGACCCATGGTCAGTTTTATGCCCAGCCGCTTGCACTAAAGATAGTCAGGTACTCATCAGAGCTGGGTGCTCATTGATGACCCATGGGTCAGTTTTATGCCCAGCCGCTTGCACTAAAGATAGTCAGGTACTCATCAGAGCTGGGTGCTCATTGATGACCCATGGGTCAGTTTTATGCCCAGCCGCTTGCACTAAAGATAGTCAGGTACTCATCAGAGCTGGGTGCTCATTGATGACCCATGGGTCAGTTTTATGCCCAGCCGCTTGCACTAAAGATAGTCAGGTACTCATCAGAGCTGGGTGCTCATTGATGACCCATGGGTCAGTTTTATGCCCAGTCGCTTGCACTAAAGATAGTCAGGTACTCATCAGAGCTGGGTGCTCATTGATGACCCATGGTCAGTTTTATGCCCAGCCGCTTGCACTAAAGATAGTCAGGTACTCATCAGAGCTGGGTGCTCATTGATGACCCATGGACTAGAATCCAGGATCCAAACTCAAGACTTTTGGGTTAGAAGTCAGCTTGTAGCTCTGTAACCAGCCTACCTCAAGTTTGAGTCTATCAAACATGTAGCTCTGTTTAACAATTTCATGCCAGTAAGCACTTGACTCATCATAAAGGTCTGCATCTTCTGAAATCTTGACTGAGGCGTGGCTTTCAACCTATAGTTGGAAAATATCAGCAAAAGCAATAAAAGCAATTTTACTAGATTCTAGTGGAAAAAGATATACTTCAAATATGGTTCTTAACGTTTTTCTATGTATCCAACAGTTAAAGCACTGACAAATTTAAAAATGATGTTTTATTTTAGGCTAACTTTTAATAATTTCTACTAATCTTTAATTTATGCTTACCATATCTTTAAATTTAGCAGGAGGCATTTCTTCAATGTTTTTTTCAAAATCTCTTAAAAACTTGGTCATAATTTCATCAATACTTTTCATACTGAAATAACAAAATAAATTCATCAACAAAGTGTCAACAACTAATTAGGCATAGTTTTAACAACATTTGTCCACATTGGCCTATAGTGGAAGCAACAACATAAAGGACAAACTGGCCATTTATGCAACCAGTGGTGTAGACAGGGGTGGGTGTTAGTTCTCTTTAAATTAAGTTACACCTATTGGTGAAGATGCCCTTATGTTGACTATCTTAACACTCTGAATGTCAAAAAAAAACAACAAATTTTATATTGTTAAAATTGTTACGGTTAAAAAAAAAAGATTTTGGAGCCCTCCCCCATGATCAATTCCTAGCAGGCCAATGCCCCTCGACCTCACACATCAATACAACTCCCACCCCCCCCCCCCCCCCTGATGTAACCAACCTGAATTTGTTGGCCTGACTCCCCCCCCCCCCCACCCTCTGATGTAACCAACCTGAATTTGTTGGCCTGACTCTCCACCACCAAGAGAAAACCTAACACCCCGTGGGTGGTACAGGGCTGGCAGTAGACGCTGTATCCAAGCTGGAACTCTGTACGGAGTACGTTAAACAATGGCTCATTCATGGCCGCCTGGTGGGATAGAGAAACATAGAGAATCCAACTTTGTTTAGTTGGGGATAACACATATTCATTCAATGCATTTCTCTTTGTTGACAAAGAGACCCACAATACTTTATATTTAAAATTGGTTCAGAATTTTATAAAAATTTATAACCTAATTCATAACCAAATGAACATTAAAACAATATCTGCTAGCTAGACAAACACATTTTTTTTTATATTCAACAAATGTAACTCACATAATGCTTCCATTAATACCAGGAGTATGAACTAGGACTAAACATAATTAAATAGCTGCCCAGTCCCAGCTGATAGTACCAGGAGTATGGACTAGGACTGAACAAACAACTTACTGCCAGCAGGTCATTAAGACATGTGTTCATAATGCTACCCAGCCCCAGCTGATAGTACCAGGAGTATGGACTAGGACGGAACAAAGAACTTACTGCCAGCAGGTCATTGAGACATGTATTCATAATGCTGCCCAGCCCTAGCTGATAGTAGTGCACCACACAGGAGTTGGTGTCCTCTTTGTTGACAGATGACATAAAACACTTGAAGTCCCCTTCAGGCAGCTCCAACACCAAGGGCTAGAGAAAACACATTGGCAACAATCTACCCAGGGATTGACAGCATTTCTAAACACATCAAAATTATTTGTTTTGGCTAGAGAAAACACATTGGAATCAATTAACTCAAGGATAGACAGCATTTCTAAACACATCAAAATTATTATTTATCAAATCAGGGATCGACAGCATTTCTAAACACATCAAAATTATTATTAATCAAATCAGGGATTGACAGCATTTTTAAACACATCAAAATTATTTGTTTTGGCTAGAGAAAACACATTGGAATAAATTAACTCAAGGATCGACAGCATTTCTAAACACATCAAAATTATTATTTATCAAATCAGGGATCGACAGCATTTCTAAACACATCAAAATTATTTGTTTTGGCTAGAGAAAACACATTGGAATAAATTAACTCAAGGATCAACAGCATTTCTAAACACATCAAAATTATTTGTTTTGGCTAGAGAAAACACATTGGAATAAATTAACTCAAGGATCAACAGCATTTCTAAACACATCAAAATTATTTGTTTTGGCTAGAGAAAACACATTGGCAACAATCAACTCAGGGATTGACAGCATTTCTAATGCATCAAAATTATTATTAATCAAATCAGGGATTTCTAAACACATCAAAATTATTTTTTTGGCTAGAGAAAACACATTTGCATCAATCAACCCAGGGATTGACAGTTTTTAAACACATCAAAATTATTTGCTTTGGCTAGAGAGAGCACACTGAAATCAATCAACTTGACATTAATAGCACAACAAAATTATTTGCCACTGAGCACAATAAGAGTGAGAATTAATAACACCAATGTTACCTTAACTCAACAAGTTAGGTTACCCTAACAAGTTTATCATTACTGTTAAAAAAACAACAACAAATTTCTACAAAAGTTAAAGCTTGTGTTACCTTATTAAACTAAATGGGTGCTTAACACTAACTGAACAGTTGGTAAAATGTTAAATTAGCTCACAAGAATTGACAGCTCAAGTTGTGTCCCAGCACATATTTGTGCAATTAATATTAAAATAATTAAAGAATAGTTCACACAAATCCTTAGGCCTAGCAATATAATCTATATAGAATTACTTGCACAAATCACTAACCCTACTACCACCACCTACCTATATAATCTACATAAAATACTTACACAAATTCCTTTTGACTACTACAACCACCTAGCTATACATTCTACATAGAATTACAAATCCCTATGCCTACTTAAACCACAGCAAAATGAAATCAATATTTTGAAATGTGCAGTAGAATAAGGGAGCAATCATTACCTTGGGAATATCTTCAAACGGTAGAGGTTTCTTTATCAATGGCAGAGCCAGTTCACCAATGTCAAGGGCATCCTAAGAGTTTGTAAGTATACAGCAAGCTTTATTTAATGATTAAATACTACTAAAAAGAACTCAAGTGAATTGTTTACTTTGTTTAGACTAGGTTGCTCTCTGTGCTTGTCATGGTTGTGTGCTTTATATTTCCAAACAAAAATTTAACAATGGGCCAACAAACATTTGTGTGCCATCAACAATGCAAACAGTCTAGGCATAAACAAGAGGGGAGCAAATTTTGTTTTGTTTACAATGTTCTAAAGTGGATTTTCAAAATCTAAAATTGTTTTATAAAACTGTTAGTACTCTAAAGTTTGTTTAATTTTTACCTGCACTTTTCAATAAAAACACAAGTTTTATATAGTACTTTACCTATCAACAAAGAGACCTAGAAAACTCTTACCTGGGGGAATAGATTCCCTGTGACAAATCCTTCAATGAATAAAGATGAGAACATCTCCTCCACAAACTCTTTCAGCATCGAGTAGTTCACGCTGTCCAAGTGCTTGTACCTGTTACATAATGATGGGTCTTTCTGCTCTAACAGACGGTAGCGCACAGAGCTGGAACAGTTCAGATACATCATGACAAAACCTCTCTCAACAAAACATCTCTCCACACATCTCTCAGCAAAACATCCGTCGATAAAATATCTCTAGACAAAATTTCTGTCAACAAAATATCTCTGGACAAAATATCTCAGGACAAATATGTTGACAAATTATCTCTGCAAAAATATTTCTAGATAAAATATCTAAAAAAAATGTCAATGCTATTACATCATTTTATCTCAGGAACTTGTATTTTTTCAGAGATAATCTGCTCCTGGAATAATTTCTCATTACTAACCCTCGTTAAAACCTTTATAGCAATCAATGAAATCATAGCTTCAGATGATTAGTTTAAAACAGATGAACTTGTCAAACCTGGCGAGTTCCACTGGTTTTATCAGCTTATTGATGTAGAACTGCTTGAGGTGGGTCAATACGGAGTTAAAATTGTCTTCGTTGGTTTGAAAGTTCTGGAACACTTTCAGCATGTCTGCGGCGACAAGCTAAACAAAGAGAAAAAATGCTTCAGGAAAATTACGCACACTTTCAAGGACAACTGCTTCAGATTTTTCAGAATTTTTCAGCTCATAGTGAAACAAGTAAAAAGTCTAGTGACAATTTAAGCACAATTTCCTTATGTTATCCATAACAATTTTAAATCGAGATAAATCATAGCTCCTCCTCCTTCGCCTGCGTCTCGCGCAGTTCGCTGCTAAGCCAGCCAGGTCACATTATTTACCCTCCTTTCCTTCGCCTTCCACTGCCTTCTTTGCTATATTGTACTGTAATGTATTATGTATAATGTAATTTTAAATAATGCGGACGTGTAGGGGGTGTTTAGTTGTCGCTCTTTTAAAAAACCCGGGAATTTTTTTGGCCCACAATCATCCTCGGAACTTGCTTAACATATTTGTTTTTGGAACTAGTCCTCGATATTGCTTCGTTGAGGAGGAGATACGACTTAAAGCTGCGGACACACATCCATCCATCCATTCCCAGAAATGACAAGTTAATAAACGCAATTCTCCAGAATGGAAATTGCGCTAAAAAAAATGAAATGTGATTGTATTTTAAGCTACAGTATACAAAATAGTGCCTATGTATAAGTCACCTTAATTTTTTCACTGTAGCCTCCAATAATAAAAATGACCCCTTCTGGTGTGCCATCAAAGGAGTACCTAAATATAGAATATAGCAGTCTATCAGTCTAGATATTAATTTCAAATAAAATAAAATACAAAATTGTGAGATATTGTTAAAAAAATAAAATGGGTTTTTGGATATAATATAGGGTTGTTGAAAAAGTTACAATTGATAAGCTGAAATACAGAGAGGAATAAAAAGGCTTTGCTGATAAAGCCAGCTAGAATATCATTGTAGTACAATTACAAAACTTACTCATGTCCTGCAATCATTGTAGCACAATTACAAAACTTACTCATATCCTGCCATCATTGTAGCACAATTACAAAACTTACTCATATCCTGCCACCATTGTAGCACAATTACAAAACTTACTCATATCCTGCCACCATTGTAGCACAATTACAAATCTTACTCATATCCTGCCATCAATGTAGCACAATTACAAAACTTACTCATATCCTGCCACCATTGTAGCACAATTACAAAACTTACTCATATCCTGCCACTATTGTAGCACAATTACAAAACTTACTCATATCCTGCCACTATTGTAGCACAATTACAAAACTTACTCATATCCTGCCACCATTGTAGCACAATTATAAAACTTACTCATATCCTGCAAACATTGTATCACAATTACAAAACTTACTCATATCCTGCAATCATTGTAGCACAATTACAAAACTTACTCATATCCTGCCACTATTGTAGCACAATTACAAAACTTACTCATATCCTGCCACTATTGTAGCACAATTACAAATCTTACTCATATCCTGCCACTATTGTAGCACAATTACAAAACTTACTCATATCCTGCCATCATTGTAGCACAATTACAAAACTTACTCATAACCTGCCATCATTGTAGCACAATTACAAAACTTACTCATATCCTGCCATCATTGTAGCACAATTACAAAACTTACTCATATCCTGCAATCATTGTAGCACAATTACAAAACTTACTCATATCCTGCCATCATTGTAGCACAATTACAAAACTTACTCATATCCTGCAACCATTGTAGCACAATTACAAAACTTACTCATATCCTGTCACCATTGTAGCACAATTATAAAACTTACTCATATCCTACAACCATTGTAGCACAATTACAAAACTTACTCATATCCTGCCACCATTGTAGCACAATTACAAAACTTACTCATATCCTGCCAGTGTGGCGTTGTATAGAGTTTCTGTCAGCTGTTGTAGCAACAGTGTCATGTACACATCACCAAGGGCAATGCTGGGAATAGAAGGAAGACTAATTATAATAAAGAAAAGTTGTTATAATTATAACACTGGCTATGAAAGATTTGGTCTCCAAGGAATGTTCTACCTCACAATTACAGAGTTTGATTAACCAACACTTATGGTTTTCATACAAGACACCCTTGGGCACCTAGATGGTGATCACAGACACTATAGCATTCTTATCTAAGATCTGATATAGAGTTACTTTATTATGACAGACAAATCAAACCAATTACTATATAGGAATAAAAAATTCAAAAAAAAAAAAAAAGGAATCAAAATTAAATTCTGAAGTTTCAAAAGCCACATAATTACATGCTTTTAAAAATATTGAAAGAAAACAGTTATGGTACCTATGTTCATTCTTTGATATAGCAGGACTGATAAAGTGAAAGTAGATGTAAGCGTTTGGCATGTGATACGTGTTGTCTTTTTTGTACCACATACGTAGGCCATCCTTGTTCATTACAACCACAGGGTACTGCCAAAATAAATTATTCATGTCTCAACTTTAAGAACAGAGAATCAACATCAACATTATTGTGATCAGAACATCAAAACATACACAGACAACATCAAAACCACATTCATAACATTAACTATACATCCATAAGCTTAGCACTGTAGTGTCAACATTAAAAAAAATTAAATCAATTATCACTCTAGATCTTAATAATAAAATGACAGATTGCACACAATGAATGGTATTGCTATTTCACCATGTAGGCCTACAATCAACAACACTGTCAAATTTACTAATATTAATAAGACTAGTTAACACTCAAGCTATTATTTCTTTATCTCCCTCAAAAGAGAAATTCTGAAATATAATACACACAAAAAATCAGCACAAACAACAAGAACTCAAACAAAAGAGGTTCTGAAATACAATCCATCTGGATATTAAAGCAACATGAACTCTAACAAAAGAGGTTCTGAAATACTATCCATCTGGATATTAAAGCAACAAGAACTCTAACAAGAGAAGTTCTGATATACAATCCATCTGGATATTAAAGCAACAGGAACTCTAACAAAATAGGTTCTGAAATACAATCCATCTGGATATTAAAGCAACAGGAACTCTAACAAAAGAGGTTCTGAAATACAATCCATCTGGATATTAAAGCAACATAAACTCTAACAAAATTTCATCCTCTTACTTTACTTGACTTTTTGACTTTAATGAGACTAAAATCTGTGGCTACAAAAATAGATTCAGATCAAGATTTCAACATACAGGTCCTATTAGCAACTACTGAATTATTTGCAAATCATTTTTAAATTGTTGCCAATGAAATAATCTAAACAAATTTCTAAAAAGAAAATCTCAATTGTGTGGATCAAAATAATGTTAAAATCTCACCAATATATGGATTTGGATCTGGTAATTTTAGTTCTGGATTTGGACTCACATCTGTTGATTGTTTTACAATTATAAAGAAAACAATTGAGATTGATGATACATTTGATAAAAGACAACTAAATTTAAAGAAAAAAACATTTTAATTCTTCCAAAGTTTAGAAATAATGTAAGGCTATACTGTCAGAGATACCAAATTAATGCTTCAAATTGAGTTAAACCTTATACTTTCTGGGCTGACTCTTCAATTATTAATCTTTAATCATCTAAATACATGTGTTTTATATTTTTTTATTTAACACAATTAGGGTACATATAATTAATAAAAAAAATTATGTTTAGAATATATTTTATAAACCTTGTAATTTATAGCAATACAGTCAATAATAAATCACAACTTACTCAGAAGCCTTGTTATTAAAGCATCATCAACACCTGGAGGGTGGAAGGGATTGCTATGACTAACAGAAAACTCTAATCCAGAAAACACTTTCTAAGCTAGCTTTGATCAAGACACAACCAGAAAATGTTATGTAGGAATACACCCCCCTACCCCATTACATGCTGATCAAAATTGTTTCAGACAAATTTTGAAAATACAAGGACAGCATGCAAGAAGTCAAACAACATAAAGAATGTTATCTCTATAAAACAGAATGCCAGCCCTACAATAATAAAGATCTTTTCAAACCAACATAACTTCAACAACATGGTAATTAAAATAAAATTACCCTTTGAAACCTGGTGGTCCATGTGGCAGATGAAGCAAAATTCACCTTTTTGTGTAACCTCAGCATATTGGCATAGTGTGGTCAACATTATATCCAGCCACATTTATCTCCCCTGATATAAGTCAGGTACCTATATCAGCTGGGTGGACTCAGGGATATTATAGGGACTCAAGCCCAATACCTGAACCTGAAACCTTTGTGTTTCAATTTTATGCTCTACTCTCAGTGAGACTTATAAACAATTATTAATCTCATGCCTGGGTTTAAGCTTTACAGCTTAAACACCGATAAACGTTCATTGTAACACAGAAGAATAACTAGAAGATTCCTTGCCAAAGTTATCTGTACATTGCCAGTTATCTGCTAGTAAAGCAACAACTCACTTTGAGCCAGGTATTTGGTGCCCAGCCAAGGTTCCCCACAGAGGTTTGGAAGCTGGACATTGCCAGTTATCTGCTAGTAAAGCAACAACTCACTTTGAGCCAGGTATTTGGAGCTGGACATTGCCAGTTATCTGCTAGTAAAGCAACAACTCACTTTGAGCCAGGTATTTGGTGCCCAGCCAGGGTACCTCATAGAGGTTTGGGAGCTGGACATTGCCAGTTATCTGCTAGTAAAGCAACAACTCACTTTGAGCCAGGTACTTGGTGCCTAGCCAGGGTTCCTCACAGAGGTTTGGGAGCTGGACATTGCCAGTTATCTGCTAGTAAAGCAACAACTCACTTTGAGCCAGGTATTTGGAGCTGGACATTGCCAGTTATCTGCTAGTAAAGCAACAACTCACTTTGAGCCAGGTATTTGGAGCTGGACATTGCCAGTTATCTGCTAGTAAAGCAACAACTCACTTTGAGCCAGGTATTTGGTGCCCAGCCAAGGTTCCTCACAGAGGTTTGGGAGCTGGACATTGCCAGTTATCTGCTAGTAAAGCAACAACTCACTTTGAGCCAGGTACTTGGTGCCCAGCCAGGGTTCCTCACAGAGGTTTGGGAGCTGGACATTGCCAGTTATCTGCTAGTAAAGCAACAACTCACTTTGAGCCAGGTATTTAGTGCCCAGCCAAGGTTCCTCACAGAGGTTTGGGAGCTGGACATTGCTAGTTATCTGCTAGTAAAGCAACAACTCACTTTGAGCCAGGTACTTGGTGCCCAGCCAGGGTTCCTCACAGAGGTTTGGGAGCTGGACATTGCCAGTTATCTGCTAGTAAAGCAACAACTCACTTTGAGCCAGGTACTTGGTGCCCAGCCAAGGTTCCTCACAGAGGTTTGGGAGCTGGACATTGCCAGTTATCTGCTAGTAAAGCAACAACTCACTTTGAGCCAGGTACTTGGTGCCCAGCCAGGGTTCCTCACAGAGGTTTGGGAGCTGGACATTGCCAGTTATCTGCTAGTAAAGCAACAACTCACTTTGAGCCAGGTACTTGGTGCCCAGCCAGGGTTCCTCACAGAGGTTTGGGAGCTGGACATTGCCAGTTATCTGCTAGTAAAGCAACAACTCACTTTGAGCCAGGTATTTAGTGCCCAGCCAAGGTTCCTCACAGAGGTTTGGGAGCTGGACATTGCCAGTTATCTGCTAGTAAAGCAACAACTCACTTTGAGCCAGGTATTTGGAGCTGGACATTGCCAGTTATCTGCTAGTAAAGCAACAACTCACTTTGAGCCAGGTATTTGGAGCTGGACATTGCCAGTTATCTGCTAGTAAAGCAACAACTCACTTTGAGCCAGGTACTTGGTGCCCAGCCAAGGTTCCTCACAGAGGTTTGGGAGCTGGCTGTACTCTTGGTTAAACAACATCACCATCATGCCCTGGGGTCTCAGGAAATCCAAGCAATCTCGTATCAGCTGGAGGAAGAAATCAATACACATCTCAATATTGTTTTTTTAAAAAAGTAAAACAGTTTACTACATTATAAACAAACAATGGGCATCAAACAATAGTTAAAGGAACACTGTGGAGGTACAATTATTAGCCAGAAAGTACAGAGTTTGGATCATGGGCTCAAGTGGATAGGATGCCTAAGTCCACCCAGCACTGGTATAAGTGGCTGGCCATAGTGTTGACCACACTATACATAGATGAACTTCCTTTTCCCCCATCAACATTGTTCATTCATACGCCGAGGTCACAGAAACAGGTAAACTCTACTCCACTTGCTATGAACTGTCAGATTCAAAAAGGAAATTTTACAACTTTTACCCCTGAATGTTTAAAAACTGCAAACTAATTAACACCATAGCCATGGGTCAGTTACCTGTTCATTGTACTCAAAAAACAAGTTGCGGCCGCACAGGTAATGTTCAGGTGGAAACATGTGCATGTTCTCAGCTAGTTCTTCTACATAGTTATAGATGGATTCCTACAATAAACAAACATGTGCATGTTCTCTGCTAGTTCCACATAGTTATAGATGGATTCCTACAATAAACAAACATGTGCATGTTCTCTGCTAGTTCCACATAGTTATAGATGGATTCCTACAATAAACAAACATGTGCATGTTCTCTGCGAGTTCTTCCACATAGTTATAGATGGATTCCTACAATAAACAAACATGTGCATGTTCTCTGCTAGTTCCACATAGTTATAGATGGATTCCTACAATAAACAAACATGTGCATGTCCTCTGCTAGTTCTACATAGTTATAGATGGATTCCTACAATAAACAAACATGTGCATGTTCTCTGCTAGTTCCACATAGTTATAGATGGATTCCTACAATAAACAAACATGTGCATGTTCTCTGCTAGTTCTTCTACATAGTTATAGATGGATTCCTACAATAAACAAACATGTGCATGTTCTCTGCTAGTTCCACATAGTTATAGATGGATTCCTACAATAAACAAACATGTGCATGTTCTCTGCTAGTTCCACATAGTTATAGATGGAGTCCTACAATAAACAAACATGTGCATGTTCTCTGCGAGTTCTTCTACATAGTTATAGATGGATTCCTACAATATACAAACATGACTATCCCTGATAGTTTTACATAATTATAGATGAATTCCTAAAGAAAACCATTGGCTTCATATTCTATTTCAAAATCTACTGCTTTTTAACTTAGGGGTTGATTGGCTGATGACACAAACTACAGACAAAGCTTGAGGCGTTGGATGGAAACAAACAACTAGCCTAGAGAATCTGGACTTTGCAGATGACATAACTCTACTAGCTAGAAGCCAAAAAAACATGCGGGAAAAACTATTTTGCAAATGGAGTTAGAATTATATTAAACATTAACAAAACCAAAGTTATGAAGCAAACTACAACTCACCAAGAACCTATTAAAATTAACAACACACAAGTAGAGAAAGTAAAAGATTATGAAGGAGACTGCACTGCTGAAATTAAAACACGCATCTCTAAAGCCAAACAAGCCTTTGCAACCATGCAAAAAACATGGCGATCAAAAAGAATCTTCCCCAAGACCAAATGCAGACTTTCAAAAGTGATGTCCTTATCAACCTACTGCACGGCAGCAAATGCTGGAAAGTAACAACCACAGCTAGCAGATCACTGGACTCTTTCTTAACTAAGTGCTTGCGAAGGATAAAATGCATACACTGGCCTAACACATCTCCAATGATAGACTAGGAGAGATGGAAATGGAAGCAGTTTCCAAAATAATAATAAAAGGAGATGGCACTTGACGGGGCGTGGCTTAAGAATGAATTCCAGATGATATTGCAGGAGTGGCGCTAAACTTGATGTCTCAAGAATATAAAATGAAAACAGGGGAGCAGCTGGTAGAGGACAGCAAGTAACATTTCTGAAGACTGACAAAAGTAGTGGCCCCATGCGTATTGGGTACAAAAGGGAAAAGGTGATGATTTCAAAATGTGTAAAAGAATTTGTATAACCCTCCCTTCCATTAAAATAATAGAGTGGAAGTCAGACTGAAGAAAACCACATTACCTGCTCCTTAAAAATATACTTTGTTTCTTGAATGTGTTTCTGTTCCTCAAATACATGCGCAGGGAGGGTCACTTTCAGGATATTAATGTACTGGAATATCACCTCTAGAACCTGGTGGCTCAACATTACAGAGGAGAAATGGGTCCAGTGATACAACAGATATGAAATACATGGGTTTTTAGAGCACTTCATCTGATTTGATTGACAGATGAAATATTTAACTGAACCTTTTATCCGTAACAGGGGACGATGTTTGTCGATTGCTTGACTAAGGTCTTGATTTTGGATTCGGTCTGGACTTGCAACTGTTGGATGTCCCTGAGTCCACCCAGCTCTGGTGGGTACATGCCTCACATTTGGGAAAGTAAAGGCAGCTGGGCATGGTGCTGACCACACTATCTCTTCATATGCCAAGGTTAAAAACCATGTGAACTCTACTTCATCTGTCATATGGATCATTTGTTCTTAAACTTACTTTTTTTTTTTACCTTGTGTAAACCAGTAACAAAAAAAAAGATTGTAACAAAATAAATCACTATTTCATATGTAAATTAACACTTAAAAGCAAACAATTTTATAAAAAAAGAATTTCTTGATAAATAATATAGGAACTCTGAAGTTACAAAACATTAAACAACTATATCAAGATAACAATAAATAGAAATTACCTCCTCATAGTTGAGAAAGCCATGCTCAGTCAGTTTGATGGTAAGAATGAAAGCAGACCAAGTGGAATTGTGTGTGTAGCCAGTCATATCATTTCCACCCGCTATTTCTAAGGCTAGGTGCCTAAAAACATAGTGAAATCACAGCTAACTATAGCATTATAAATCAATAATTGTAATAAATTTCATAGATGCACTAAAGATTTATATGTGATACAGTGGGCTACTAATAAAACTACTTGAAATCAACAATTTGGCTCTTACCTCTTCTGTAAGTAGGACAGAATACTACCTTTTCCTTCATGGCCAATAACCAATGATAAATATTCAATAACTCTAGCCCTGAAAACACAATCATGAGCTTGGTTATACAGATCACACTACATCTAGCTCAGAGCTTAACAATATAGACGGTAAAGCCAGCAGCTAACTGTATAATTTAGCAACCAAAAAAAAAGTTAATGATGATTTGCAATGAATTGTAAACCTAAATAAACATCAATGAGTAATAAGGAAAATTTTCATTACTTAAGTAGGCTGTCTAAATATGAAATTTTCTAAGTCTTGAGAAAAATTGGAGAGAATATAACAGTTGAAAACTAATAAATACATACATACATATATATATATATATATATATATATATATGCATATATGACAAATGACAAAAGAAAACCTGTAGTGCTCCATGAGGGGCGGCAACGCCCAGATAATCTCCATCTTGTGTACATCCTCTATTGGTATCACTGTGGAACAATACGTTCTTTAAATTTGTTACTACACTAGACACAATCACAATCTGTTCTTTAAATTTGTTACTACACTAGACACAATCACAATCTGTTCTTTAAATTTGTTACTACACTAGATATAATCCCAATCTGCTCTTTAAATGTGTTACTACACCAATTATAATCACCTCTCTTTAAATCTCTACACCAGCCACAATCACATCAACACCACTATACCTCAGATTCCCATGCCACTACAGGTACTACAAATGTATATTTAACTTACCCTTTACAAGTTTGTTTAATTTCTTCTCTTGGAAAGGAGGCTAAAAAAATAAAAATTAATTGGGGTGAGAGCTGTTATAGGTGTTGCTAATTGTTGTCGTTTTACATATGTTATAGGTATGTCGCTGATTGTTGTCGAATTACATGCTATAAGTAGGTCGCTAATTGTTGTCGAATTACATCACAAATGATAAGCTCAATCACCCTAAAATTTAAAAATTAAGCTCTCCAATCTACAAGCAATATTTAGAAGCTTAAGAACAAAACAAAAAGCATTGTTTAATAACTTTACCTTAATAAATTTAGGCCGAGGAATCTCACTGAAAAGAAAAAGTAAAATGAGATAAACCTGGACATGATGATTGGCTTGTAATGTTCTACCAGCAAGAGAATGAGAAGAATGGAGAATGAATCTTTAACCAAATAAAAATTTTCACATTTTTAAACAGAATTTAAAAAAACTTTCAACTTATGTAGAATGCATTTATTAGGTAACTTAAAGTATTCTTTGTAAAAACAAAAACAAAATAAGCAATATTCACTGCAAAGTTCATTTTTATGGGCTAGTATAATAATGTAAATAAAAATTGAAATAAATTTGAATCATCAAGTTTTGGTAAAACAAAATGTCCTCAAAAGGAAAAGAAGCATTGCAGTAAACAATGGCACATCTCCATGGTTTTGCTAATTGTCACTTACTTATTGGGAATAGGAGAAAATATTCGAATAATATAATTTTCTATTGTATCGAGATCATCTGAAAACAGAAAATTAAAACTAGTGAATCATTTTTTAAATTTTTTGACAACAGCTTTTAAGGTCCAGCTTGGGGCTGCTTACATAGTTAAGTAAACTAAAATGATAAACTTTAAAAAAACAACTTACAACAATCTGTACATTCTTACCCATGGCGTGGACTACTAAGGTCATATAGTGGGCTGAATACATTCTACGGTAAAAGCTGTGCAGCTGCTCGTACACATTGATGTTGTTTTTTAGCGGATCATCTTTCAGAGATTTTTTGTTGCCTGAAAAACAAAATTATATAGTTCAACAAAACAGCCACAAACATGGAGGGTCACACAAACTTTATGTAGCAAAGAAGGTTACTTGAGTTTTAGATGAATCTTGTAAAGTAGATTTTTTAAGGACCAAAAGTAGGAACTGTCATACATAAAGAGAAGAATTTGAAGGCCAAAAAGAGGAACAATTGCACAGATGTTAGTTTGTTAAACCAAAAATAAATCATAAAATAAGAAAATAAGTCATAAGATGTCCAGTTCCCAATAAGTCTGGAACTTATCTTTCATAAATTTAGCCATAGGATGTCCAATTTCCAATAACTGTGGAACTTACCTGTCATAAATTTAGCCATAGGATGTCCAGTTTCCAATAACTGTGGAACTTATCTGCCATAAATTTAGCCATAGGATGTCCAGTTTCCAATAACTGTGGAACTTACCTGTCATAAATTTAGCCATAGGATGTCCAGTTTCCAATAACTGTGGAACTTACCTGTCATAAATTTAGCCATAGGATGTCCAGTTTCCAATAACTGTGGAACTTACCTGTCATAAATTTAGCCATAGGATGTCCAGTTTCCAATAACTGTGGAACTTACCTGTCATAAATTTAGCCATAGGATGTCCAGTTTCCAATAACTGTGGAACTTATCTGCCATAAATTTAGCCATAGGATGTCCAGTTTCCAATAACTGTGGAACTTACCTGTCATAAATTTAGCCATAGGATGTCCAGTTTCCAATAACTGTGGAACTTACCTGTCATAAATTTAGCCATAGGATGTCCAGTTTCCAATAACTGTGGAACTTACCTGTCATAAATTTAGCCATAGGATGTCCAATTTCCAATAACTGTGGAACTTACCTGTCATAAATTTAGCCATAGGATGTCCAGTTTCCAATAACTGTGGAACTTACCTGTCATAAATTTAGCCATAGGATGTCCAGTTTCCAATAACTGTGGAACTTATCTGCCATAAATTTAGCCATAGGATGTCCAGTTTCCAATAACTGTGGAACTTACCTGTCATAAATTTAGCCATAGGATGTCCAGTTTCCAATAACTGTGGAACTTACCTGTCATAAATTTAGCCATAGGATGTCCAATTTCCAATAACTGTGGAACTTACCTGTCATAAATTTAGCCATAGGATGTCCAGTTTCCAATAACTGTGGAACTTACCTGTCATAAATTTAGCCATAGGATGTCCAGTTTCCAATAACTGTGGAACTTATCTGCCATAAATTTAGCCATAGGATGTCCAGTTTCCAATAACTGTGGAACTTACCTGTCATAAATTTAGCCATAGGATGTCCAGTTTCCAATAACTGTGGAACTTACCTGTCATAAATTTAGCCATAGGATGTCCAGTTTCCAATAACTGTGGAACTTACCTGTCATAAATTTAGCCATAGGATGTCCAGTTTCCAATAACTGTGGAACTTACCTGTCATAAATTTAGCCATAGGATGTCCAGTTTCCAATAACTGTGGAACTTACCTGCCATAAATTTAGCCATAGGATGTCCAGTTTCTACCAGCTCATATGCCATAATGCTTCTCATTCTTTCATTGTCTCTGCTTGATACCATCTGAAATTCTAGAGAGAAACACTTCCTGTTATAACCACAGTACACCCAGCATACAAACCAGACAGTCTAGAGGTTGAATTTATAAACATATAGAGAATCTAAATAAATGATTTTTTTTTAATTACCCAAGAAATCTAACAAATTAACCAAATATTCATTTAAGTGTATTAAAAGATAACAAGCATTGCGCATTCATAAAGTACATATTATGATTAAGAATAATGCTTGTATAGCACTCATTGCAATATTCAATAAACATCAGTGTACCCATGTTACAATGGGTCTGGGTCTACTACATTACCCCCATTCAATGCCCATGTATCTGCAACAACACTATGATAGAACAAGATGAAATTTCCAAATTATCTTTGTTGAGACACAAAAATGGACATGACAAGTCAACCCTGATGTGTCAAAACACAAACCAACCAGACATCAAACACAATCTCCATAGAGAGCAGCCTCACAATGTGGCTGCAGTAAGAAGATTCACTTCATTTACTACTTTAACCTACTGCTTCACTGGTCTACCTTTTTAATATACCCAAACCACTATCCACTTAACACCATTGTAGCCATGTTAAAAAAAAACCTCCTACCGTTATCCACAGCCAAAATTTCACGATCAACAGAGTTCTTGTTGAAGAGAGGGCTGATGAAAAACTGGGCAAAAATATCCAAAGCTTTGATAAATGAATTTTGGTGGCAAACAAAGAAGAAGCAGGTCTGAAACACAAAAATGTAACTCCAGTGTTTGTTAATTTAGATTCAACACTAGTTGTCATAGTAACAAATGAAAGTATGATGTTTTGTAACCTAGGACAATGGTAGGGAAAGCAGATACTAGCACTAGCATGAGTTATCAGCACAAAACCAAACCAAACTGTTGTTTTAGTGAGTGAATTTCAAATATGAGAAACATCAGTAAACCAGCTATAGAACCTAAGTAAACATCAGATGTGTTGAATATTGTTGTACACTATATTATAAGTGATGAAAGAAATACCTATTATTGTAACAAATAAGCTTGATGAAATGTATTTTTAAAAAAATGAGATTTCTATTTAAATGTAAGTTAAAAAAATAGAAGTGATTGTATACACATTTAAGTACAGGCAAAAGTAATTGAAATACATTTGATTATAATGGTTTCTTGAATACAATATACAATTTAAAGATGAAACAGAGTAACTGATCAACATAGATGAGACTAACTGATCAACATACCCTTTCACAATCTGTCCATGCATTTGATTCTCCGCCATTCTGTGCAAGATAATCGTCCCAGTAGTTTTCTTTTGGGAATTTCTTGCTGCCCATAAAAACCACTACAAGGAAAAAAGAAATAAATCCTTCAACTTTTTAATAACAGAATAGAGTGCATTACAAGTTACAATAGATTTCATATTATCTTTTGTGCTTTTAAAGAGTTAACCCTCTAATGTTGCGATGTAGTAATACATTTTTTGTAAGATTAACTACAAGTAAAATACAGATCATGTTAGTAAAAAAGAATGATTTTTTACGGACAGATTTACAAATTATCACCATTTACTAAAGACAAACAGATTTACTTCAAGCAAACAGGATTGCTATAGACAAAGGGATTTAGTAAAAAAGCAGAAATTTACTATGTTCCATAAAGTGTGCAAATCCTGGTATCTCTGGTAGATCTGAGAAACTTCCTACACCAATACACAATGCGGCTGCTGCCTGCAAATAATTGGCTCATTTATTGTCTTCAACAAAGAGCACCACACTCATACTACGAGCAAGCTTTGAATATATTTCTCCTATCTAGTGGTGGACTTACAGTGTAAAACTAAAACAGCCTAGTCAACGTACTAACTAGCGAGTTAATATTTGCTAACTGGATGTCTGAGATTGCTAAATTAATAATTATGCTTATTAATTTATAAAGACTAAAAAATTTGAACTCTATTTTATAAAACTGAACTTCTTAAGAGATTCGTAATATTAATTAGTCTTAACTTGGATGGGATACTTTAGGTGTTCTTTATATACAAGTGTGCCTACATACTTCTAAAAGAGAAAAACATCATGTTTTAAAATAGAATTGTCACCCTATTTTACCTCCCCATCACTGTACAATTCATCAATCTCCATAAGTTCTGTAGGATTTAATCTTTTTGAGTTTGTTATGAAAGATGAGTTTTCTGAGATGAGCATTGCTGTTATTCCATTTGGCAAGATCACAACTCTGTAAATAACAAATAACATGAAGGGGGTGTTGTTATGTTGTGCTTTGGTGATTTATCATGTTATATGTGTCATAAAGTAGGGTAGCAGTACAGAGCAATGTCTTTTATAACAATGCCTATTATTTTCTTAATAAGTATTTTTGAACATTTTTTGCTATTTAGGAAGGTAAGGCTTTATATCAGTTTTAAATGAAGATACCTGATGCCTACATTTTTTTATCAGTATAAAATTGTGTCATTGTTTGTTTTCATATTCTAATGATAAGAGTGGTGGTCTAAGAAATGTGATAGAGCTCATACACATTTTAATGGATCAGTCTTAAAGTAATGTATTACGGACCTGTTGCACTAAGCAAGACTTCAACCATAAATAACAAATAACAGAATTGTTTAACAATTTTTCTAAAATTGATAAATGTTGAAATATGATAATTTTAGAACTTGGTTAAAAGTTTAAATTTAATAACATTCTAAAAAATAATAATATTAAGTTTGTTGTGCTCATGAGCACACGTAAATTATTTTGTTAATTTTGACTTGAACTATAAACCCTTTTCATTTACAGTTATAAAAATTTAATTTTCTAAAGAATATTTCATGTATTAGCACTGCAGGGTTACCAAAATTCAACCATACAATATAATGTATGCGTCAATGTCCAAAAATTCTAGAACAAGCACTGGACCTGTCATGTGATATATACATATTAAAGTCAGCACTAACTAAGCTAAAAAAGCTAACATCAGATTTTACTCACCTGTATGATGTGGTATATCAAATTCTGTAATACTAAAGGTAAACAAGCTAAAATCAGATTTTACTCACCTGTATGATGTGGTACCCTTTTTATCAAATTCAGCAGCTCTAAGTGTAAACCAGGGAACATCATATTGTACTCACCTGTATGATGTGGTACATCAATTCAACACTACTAAAACTTTACTACTGTGTAAACCAGCGAACATCAGACTGTACTCACCTGTATCCCCTAGAGTCAGCAGGGGGCTTAACAATTTCAATCATGGTGGTGGATCTGTTTCTTTTTGGCCGCCCTCTTCTTTCTCTACCTCTGAGTTGCAAATGAAATTCGAGTTATAAAAATACATATGCATAAATTGTTTAACATGTAACAAATGCAGTAAACAGGAATGTTGTGTTGCCATTATTCTGATTAATAAGCAGCAATTTGTCTTATAGTTAAAAAGTTTACAACAGTTGCAATCTGTTTTGTGTTAGATAGCAAATACCTACCTAGGCTTCATTTTCCACAGTTGATTTAAAAACTTGGATATTTGTTTGATGTTGGTAACAGGACTAAAACATAGAAAATGTTTTTGTAAAGAGGCCTAATTAATAGTAGATAGTTACTATAGTCTTCAGGTTTAAAATATTGATCTCGGTCTAGGTCTACTAGCTACTAGATCTATGTATAACCTATGAGCTTATGAATATTAGTAGATAGAAAATAGATCTAAGTATATAGATCTATGTAATTAACATAGGGTAAAACCTTAGTTTAGCGTCGGTTATAATATCAGGAATAAATGAAATAGTAGATTTAAATTAGTAAAACTAAAAATATAAAAATAATAAAGTCAAACGTTTAATTCTTTTCACTTGCAGAGGATTTACAATAATCAATTAATTAGATCTAGTTAAAATGAACTAAACAAAGTTTAGTAGCTTAAACAGTTAGCAGAAACACTTAAAAATAATTAGTAATGCAAAATGATTAGTAAAGTAGTATTTGACACACAATTATTAATTAAAATCAATCTAGATTCTAGGGCCTAACCAAATTTTAAATGTTCTGTATTAAAAAGATGGTGCCAAATAAAGTATGGTTTAACAGTACTTCTGGTGGATTCCGAACTATGTAACACCTTTTTTTCACATGACTAGTCTTGGCGGATTTTACGTACCTAAAATGATGGATTACCCTACATTTCTAATTAGTAATTATTAATTAATAATTAATATGAATGCCCACACAGATCTAAACATTTAGAATCTAGAGGTAAAACTCCATTTTAGCGTATTTTATTCCCCGCTTGACGTTCACCTCCATTTGAGCGTATTTTATTATAAACACAACCGAAACACACAAAAACGTTAGGAAAACACTAGATCTACTTATTTTTTTATGAATGTGATTTTTAATTAGAAAAGGTAAAAAAAAACAAAATAAAAAAGCATTAGAACTGTTCCAATTAAATATCGTCAGCGGGAGAAAAATCCGGTCACGGGTTCACCGTGAGTTCACATTGACTAGACTTTAATTAACAGTATACGTCATAGCTCGGGCAGTAGCTGTTTGAAATTGTGTTGGCCTCAGTTTTGGGGTCATTTTAAGTTCATAAATGTTTATTTAATTTACAGTATCATGCCTGGGAGATACTTGTAACAATACAAACTTAGCCGCCTTGCAATTGTGAGTTACATTTACGTACTTCACCCATTGCCATGAAAATTCTGACACATGAACATAGCACATTCATATCATTAATTATTCTAAATTTGGTTTTTTTCTCAAGTTTTGACTAAAGTAAATTATCAAAATCTAAAACGAAGTCATACTCCTAGTTTTTTTAATTCATTTGTTAAAACAAAAACAGCACAAATAAATAAATCGTGTTTTCCTAATGTTTTGGTTATTATAATAAAATACGGCATACGGTCATCTGGATGTAAACAAGAAGCGGAGAATAAAAATAATAAAATACGCTAAAATAGAGTTTTACCGAATCTAGATCTAGATCTAGACTAGAATCTAAAAAAGTAGAAAGAATCTATCTAGATCTAGATCTAGATATCTAGTAAAGTAGATCAACATTCTACTTCTAGATCTACATCATTCAATAACAATAACTTTTAGATCTAGAATCTAGATCTAGAATATCTTCTAGATCCAGAGATCTATATCAACCCAAACTAAAAGCATCTTAAATTGATTACGCAGATCCAGATTTAATTTAAACCTGTTCGTAAATATTAGTAAATAAAACTTATGAAGATGTCCGTCCTTTCCTGCGCAAGTAAACGAAAACACACTAACACATAGACTCCATTGATGAAAGAGTGCCATAAAGGGGGGTAATTATGCGTTTAAAGACTCTCTTTAATTTACGAGTGCTATCCCTTCGTCTACACATTAGCTTAGCACAGCTTTAAAAAAATAAAATAAGCTACGATATTTTATTCTTCATATGTAAAATATTACTGTACAGAAGTTTGATGATGAATAGAACTTGATAGAGCCAACTTTAAAACATACTAGATAAACAACTAAAGTTACGTGAAAATATTGCAACGGGCAGTTTCTGAACTAGATCTAGAATCTAGATAAAAAAAACCTTTCCTACTTCTTCGGGAGAGAATAAAGCCGAATAAAGCATACAGAAATTCGCTCAAATTCATTTCTGGCCCGATATTATCGAGTTTTAACAACGTCTTTATCTCATTTATGCCCGCCGAAAATTGTGAAAAATAATTAGCTTCATATCTGGCAAGTCGATCAAAAGATTATGAACCACCAAAGCTTGATCATGGTTGCGTGTAATAATTCAGTAATGGTTTCCCGTGCTCGTTTTATTCTTATGTTTTCATTGCATTAATATTATTAATTTTGAGTAAATACCTTTTTATACTATGTCATTCTTTAGTATGCCTTATTTTACTAATAGTTAAGAGAAGACATTGCTTTTTAAATTTACCATCTCTCGAGATGGTTGTCTAACTAACACACAATGGCGTAGCGAGGTCGGGTGTCACCCGGTGCGGCACTTAATGATGTCACCACCCCCCCCCCCCCTAAAAATTTATATATATATATATATATATATATATATATATATATATATATATATATATATATATATATGTATATATATATATATGTTGGCTGGTACCTCATTTAATACCCCCCCCCCTCTTTCCTCCAGCGTGGCCTATTTAACAATTCAGATACGACCCGGCAAGAAACCATTGTTCACCCCCCCCCCTCCCCCTCCCCCCGTTGACCCTAGGTCGCATACCTGGGACGACGGAGGTTAGGTTGTTGCAAGCTCAGTGGAGAGCTATACTTTGGATGGAGTAGATGTGTATGGGTGTGCTTAGGCTGGTCGCGATGTTGGGCCGTTGCTGTCGTGTGAGATGCGGTACCGTTGCTGTTTAGATGGTGCAGAAGCTGTTGCTGTACCTGTCATGATGTCGACCTGTCCTGTGAGCTGCTGTCGCTGTACCTGTCATGATGTCGACCTGTCCTGTGAGCTGCTGTTGCTGTACCTGTCATGATGTCGACCTGTCCTGTGAGCTGCTGTTGCTGTACCTGTCATGATGTCGACCTGTCCTGTGAGCTGCTGTCGCCGACCTGTCGTGATGTCGACCTGTCCTGTGAGCTGCTGTCGTTGTACATGCGGCTAGATGCTGTTGCTGTACCTGTCGTCGTAATGTCAACCTGTGCTGTCCTATGAGATGCTGTTGCTGTACCAGTCATCGAGATGTCAACCCGAGGCTGTCATCGAAAAGCTGTCCTGTTGACAGTCCCTGTTATGTTGCTGTATGTATGGAGTTGTGAGTACCGGTACTGAAAGTATGTAGAGTGATGATGTTGTTATTCGCTCTGATTATTGGAACACTGTAATCCATTGTATTGTCTGTAATAAGTAATAAATGTATTGAAATGCGAAGTTTTATTTTTAGTTTAATATTAATGTTGTATTAGTGTTAATTAATTAGTTTTGCTCAGGTCTGGTAAACCTCCTTGACCCACAAGGATGCACGGATTTGAGAGAATAATTCCACCACCATCTCTTTCTCTATCATGTTGGTTTAAAAACAAACCCCCCACGTAACATATATATATATATATATATATATATATATATATATATATATATATATATATATATATATATATATATATATATATATATAGACCTCCACGAAACACTTCTACGTAGCAGCTGAAAAAAGTTTTACCTCACCTTCCAAGTCAAATGCATGACGTCATTTGTGGACAATCCCTGAACAGCTTTTTGTGGCCACGATGTGGTTGCATCGTCGTAATTTGTTTTTCCAATTTACCAGATCCTTAATCAGGTTTATTTTTAGTATTGGGTTTTTACATACAATTTTTTTTTAAATCGAAAAAGCTGGTGTTAATTATGTGCTAATCTACCAAGCCTTCGGCCACGCTAAAGCTCGCGAGGAAACGGAAAGTTAGGCTTAAAGTCAAACAGAAATTTAAACTTAAGGATGACAGATTGCATTCTAACGACGCCTCGTTCTAGCGTCAGGAAAAATGGGCGAAGAAATAAAGCAAACGAGCTGACCCGCGGCGTATCATACGCCCTATTTAGTTGTTTTATTTTCTACTTTTCAGTACTTCATAGCTAGTGAATTCGATACTACCTTCAGGACGACAATGAAAAGATCAAGCAGAACTTGTTATTACCTCCCCTTAGTTACAAATCGTTTAAAAGCTAAATTATCTGCCCCTAATAGCCGGCTCTACGATTGTAAGCATTCGGGATGAACCTTAGCTCACCAGAATGGTGGGGGTGGGGGTGGTAGCTATATGCCTAGAGAGCGGGGGAGTAACGGCGTGTGTTTACGTGGTGGTGTCTCGCATGGTCCCCATGAAGAGAATTTTATATACAGATATTTTTAGACGCGAATGGTAAGGAGTGTGTGAAAAAATAAACCGCGAGTGATCTCCCCTAAACTTTCTCGAGTTTTCTTATATAACACTACTTCGATGGCAAGTCGGGGTATAGAAATGATTTTTAATCAATTTTTAATTACTTAAATTTAAAAAAAAATAGAATAAAATCTTATAGAAAAAAGAATTGCACACCAAGTAAACGCCAAGACAATCTGTGTATAATAGTGCGAAATATTATCAGTACTTTATAAATTCAGATGCGTGTTTTGAGAAATCGGAAATTGCGTAAATTAAAACTTCCGGCCAACGGAAATTACTCAAAATTTGACAGAAGGCAGAGAATTAGATATTTTACTTATTTTTGAAATTCCGTTTATCTATCTGAAATAGTAGTCAAGTTATAGGCTTTTGAAAAATAAAAAGTAGAACAAGTTCAACTTCCGGTAACCGGCAATCGCTGAAAAGTTGATACAGAACTACAAATTTGATATAATACTGGTATACGAAATGTCATCAATCTAGCTGTAACGGTACTCAAGTTATTGTGTTTACAGACACACACACACACAGACATACGGACAGAATAATGCAAAGCCCAGTTTTTTCCAACTCGATTACGCATAGAACTCTGAAATTTTGATACATTTGCATTCATTATTTTTGCCCGATTAAAATAAGTCCCCTATACTCTGTATATCATGAAGTACTGGTGTGTAAAAGGATGAAAACTGTCAAAATTTTATGTGATTTTTGTGCACGATTACAATATTTCCTCTATAGGCCTACTCTGTACACGAGAAAGTAAAAAGTGGGGTTATCTTTGACTTGTTTCCATAAATATCCACAAGAACTCACCTAAGTACATTGGCCAACAAAACAGTCGTTTCTTTGTCTCCGAGATTACGTGTTTTTTTTTTTTTAAAGTGATTTGACTACCCTGAATATTTTAAAATACTCTTTTGAAATTTCTAAGATTTTGTAAGAACGTAAACTTTTATTTCACAATACAATAAAAGCAACGTACACTTTCTTATAAAATAACAAAACTCCAAGAAACTTTTGTAAAAAACATTCAATGTATTTCATATTTCTAATTAAAGGCGTATACTTGAAAGATATCTGTTAGTTTAGAGATGTTGCTGAACATTCAATATTTGGGTCGGACCCCATATCTCAATCTTTCATGTTATTAAAATTGTTATTAAAGCTATAAATCTACTGGATGAGCTTCAAAACCTTTAATGTTATTAAAACCTCTTTTAAATAAAATTAAAACCTATTGAGCTATTAAAACCACCTGTCACTATTGAAATAATCCCCGTTAACCAAATTATGTTTTGCTAAAGTTTTCATTCTACCTTGATAATAAACAAAACGCCCCCCCCCCCCCCCAAGGAAGTCTACCGCCCCCCCCCCCTTAAAACGAAATGGAATTTATATAGAAAATATATACTTTTAACAGTGACCGCCCCCCCCCCCTGGAATTTTAGTCCCCCCCCCCCCCCCCGAAAAATTTCAAGTGTCCCACGGAGATAACATTCTGGAAGAAACACTGTATTCCAATCGAACAATTCCGTCGATTAAAAAAAAAAAACAACAACTGCAAACTAATGTATGTATCTCAGTAAAATCACATGTGTTGCTAAACTTTAGAACGTACTTGTTATTTGAGCTGCTAATTCACCAGGCCGAAATCTGGCACTCAGACAGATTAACTCACAGATATCCAACTACACTTATCCAGGATACACTTCTGTGGCCGCCGTAGACGGAGACCAAGAGAGTAGTTTCTCCTCCAATAGCTGCAGCCATATTATGGACGATGCTTTGAATCCCTGATGGAGGATGGAGTTGACCCACCCCAGGATGGTAACCAGGTGTGTACAACAGGGATAGAGATTTTTTTTTAAAGTTTGGGGAGGTAGGTGATAGGGATGGGGATTTTTTTAAAGTTTGGGGTGGTGGGTGATAGGGATAGAGATTTTTTTTTAAAGTTTGGGGAGGTAGGTGATAGGGATGGGGATTTTTTTAAAGTTTGGGGGGGGGGGGGTAGGTGATAGAGATGGGGAGTTTTTTTTTTAAGTTTGGGGTGGTGGGTGATAGGGATGGGGATTTTTTTAAAGTTTGGGGGGGGGGGGGTAGGTGATAGAGATGGGGAGTTTTTTTTTTTTAAGTTTGGGGTGGTGGGTGATAGGGATGGGGATTTTTTTAAAGTTTGGGGTGGTGGGTGATAGGGATGGGGATTTTTTTAAAGTTTGGGGTGGTAGGTGATAGAGATGGGGAGTTTTTTTTTTAAGTTTGGGGTGGTAGGTGATAGGGATGGGGAGTTTTTTTAAAGTTTGGGGTGGTGGGTGATAGGGATGGGGATTTTTTTAAAGTTTGGGGTGGTAGGTGATAGAGATGGGGAGTTTTTTTTAAAGTTTGGGGTGGTAGGTGATAGGGATGGGGAGTTTTTTAAAAGTTTGGGGTGGTGGGTGATAGGGATGGTGACTGGTGAGTTACTTTTTAAAAAGTTCGGGTGGTGAGTGGTGGTTTTGGGATATATCTGCGAACAAGGAAGGCTGAGGGTTGGGAGGGGGGGGGGGGTTGGTTAGGTATAAGGCTGTGCTGTCAACATTACCTTGGGCATCTGTAGACATAAAAAAAAAACAGATTTTTTAAAGTTCATTACTGTTCACATATTGATTTCGTAAAGGTAATTTGTGGCGATTGAAACAAAATGTACAAATTATATCTCGGTGACGTAAGTAGATCGAGTAAAGCTAGGGATAATGGCTGTAGGGTTGCGATGATTGTAAGATTGTGGCTGTGACGTGTGTGGATTGTATGATTGTTGATGTACATGTGTGAAGATTGTAGGATTGTGACTTTAGATGTGTGAGGATTGTATGATTGTGGCTATAGAGTGCAAAGTCTGTATGCTTGGCGTAGGAGCTGTGTTGATCTGATTATCGTCAGTGTCTAGCTAGATGAAGTAGAGTTAACATGTTTCTTGACCCCGGCATATGAAAGGAAGATGTAGTCAGCACTTTGCCCAGAATAACATAAATTAGGAACTCAAGGACGATCTACAGACGTGAACCCAGATTCGAACTCGAGGCATTCGGTTTACCAGCCTAGCGCTCTACCGCTTAGGCCAAGCCGTCCCATAAATTCTCACCAAAGTCAAATATTGACACCAATATTACCAAATTCAGTGTGTCAACATGGAAAGTTTGGTCGAGACTGTCAACACACATGCAACTGTGCCAACCAATCAGAAACCGGTTGTGTGGATGGGCTTATGGGTGAGAGGCGTGACAAAGGTGAGTTATATCATGTCAGTAGAGTGCCCTACCTCAGAGGTGTAGCGAGGGGGGGGGGGGGTGCGGACCGTACCGGGCAAAAAATAGCAAAATATATATAGAAAAATTTGAGGGGGGGGGGGGTGCAAATCGAAAGTTTGAGGGGGGGGGGGGAGTGCAAATCGAAAATTGGCAGTTTGTTCCCGGGAAGGGTCGCTACGCCTCAGGGGGTTACATTATTAAGTGCCGCACCGGGTGATACTCGACCTCGCTACGCCACTGCCCTACCTATACGGCCTGACATTTTTTTACTTTCTCGTATATACGTAGTATAGAGAAAGTATTGTAATCGTGCAAAAAAAAAAAATCGAAATTTTTACAAATCTCGACGTTTTACACCTCACTGATACGGAAAAACATAATTTTGCAATCTTGTCCGTATGTCTGTGTGTGTGTGTGTGTCTGTGTGTCTGAGTGTCCGTGTGTAAACACGATAACTTGAGTACCGTTACAGCTAGGCTGGTGAAATTTCATATATAAGTATTTTATCAAAATCGTAGATCCGTATCAACTTTTGAGCGAATTCCGATAACCGTAAGTGGTACTTTTTCTACTTTGAATTTTTCAAAAGCCTATAACTTGAGTACTATTTCAGAAAGATGAATGAAATTTGATATGTAAGTAAAAGAGCTAATTCTCTACCTTCTGTCAAATTTTGAGTAATTTCCGTTGACCGGAAGTACTTATTTACGCTATTTCCGATTTCTCAAAAAACGCATGTAAATTTATAAAGTACTAATAATATTGCGCACTATTATGCGCTTTTTATTTAGCGTTCACTTGGTGTGCATTTCTTTTTTCTACGAGATTATATTCTATTTTAAGAAATGTGAGTATTTAAAATGGATTAAAAATCATGTCTAGAAGTCTATATCCCGAGTTGCCATCCCCTGTAGTGTTATATTAGAATATTCGAGAAAGTTTAGGGGAGATCACTCCCGGTTTATTTATTCTAAAGGTAGTACGTACTTATAACTCAATCTGTGAAACCTAAATATTCAGCTGAAATATAGATCCAAAATACATGTATTGTATTGGGCTTTCGTTTGGCTATTGTTTAATGAAATAAGCTTTAATTTTAGCCCAAGTATTAACATAGTATATAAAGACAAAGTACTATATGTCAAAATGTGTCGTAACATTTGAACTGGGAAAAACACTTTATTAGGTATGACCACTTGAATAGTTTACCTGTTTTCATACCAACTTACCTACCGTCAATATTGAATAGTTTGACTGTATAATCTACATTTTATATGCATTTGTAAAATTTAATTTTTAAATTATCAAATTAAGTATTTTGGGATTTAATTCTGCATGTAGACGTCCACATTGATGCGAACCCCCCCCCCCCCCCCCCCCCCCAATCTATATCCCGAGTTGCCATCCCCTTTAGTGTTGTATAAGATTATTTGAGAAAGTTTAGAGGAGGATAACTCCCGGTTTATTTTTCTATCCAAGCCTGAGGACCTAAGCCTTTATAGTCGAGGATCACTTTAAAGATTGCAAATACAATAATATTAAAACGACACACCGGAAAGATTGATTAAATAAAGATACTGTCTCAAAAAGTCCAAACCCTAATTTTCCCATTTACGGACTTGTGTATGATCATCAGCTAGTAACACATGGTATTCCACTTATTAAGAAACGTTTTCTTGATAGTTAAATTGATGTTGTAATGAAAAACTAAAAAAAGTTTTGTAAAGAATAGGCTTTTTAAAAGGGTTTTCATCATAACGATACCACTGACAGTATTCTGATAAAATTTGTAACTCTGACTGACAATAATCAGAGTTAAAATTTTGAATTAATGAATTTAACTGAAATATTATTCTAACGGCATATTGTAGATTCTACGCTTGATATGTGTAATGAGATGTAATGCATATTATGTAGGGTAAAGGAGGGCGTTAAGAGCCGATTGTAGGAAAAAAAGTCACAGGAAAAAAAACACAGGAAAAAAAAAACACAGGAAAAAAAGTCACAGGAAAAAAGTCACAGGAAAAAAAGTCACAGGAAAAAAAGTCACAGGAAAAAAAGTCACAGGAAAAAAAGTCACAGGAAAAAAAGTCACAGGAAAAAAAGTCACAATTATATATTTGCATGATATTTGTTAATACTTTTATGTATTAAATATTTAGAGAGTGCAAATTAACTTAGGATTAATTAAATGTAATGTAATGTGTGTAGGCTGTATACGCATAGTAATTTTTATAATTCATCTAAAATATTTAGTATGAAGTATGTAGATTGTAATTATGTTAAACTTAAGATTAGTAGCGTTTAATAGAATGCTCCAAAGTCCACGGTTTTAATCCTGTTTTGTTTTTTAAATACCAAATTCAACCACCTTTACTGCCCACATTTATCACGCTCATTACATAACAAAACTTAGGATCAAAACAGAAAGCCGACAAGGTTGAAAGGCTGTCATTGACGCATGACGTCAACAACACAAAATATGTTCGGACAATGCCTACTGAGGAGAGGCCGACCAGAGAATAGCCTACGGCAAAATTTGCGTACATTTCTTTTATAATTAAATTTTCTACTGCGTTTTTAACTAAATACGTAACAAATGTTGAGATTGTTGTGTACATTATTTTAGAGTATTTTTACTTACAATTGTTATAAACCATAATGCTTTTAACGTCTATAAATAATTTATGCTATAAAAAAATACAACCCACAACAATAAACATACAACATTTTACAATTCTAAACAAATAAATAAAAATATTTCTAAAAATATTTTTGTGACTTTTTTTCTGTGACTTTATTTCTGTGACTTTTTTTCTGATAAAATTTTTCCACTGTGACTTTTTTTCTGTGACTTTTTTTCCTAACAAAAACTGACTTTTTTTCTGTGTTTTTTTTCCTGTGACTTTTTTTCCGTTTACCTAAGAGCCACACTTTTTAGCACCTGTACATTTTTAAAGATTTCTACTAATCTAAGAATTTTTTAGTATTGAAAATATGGCAAAATTATTCTAACATAACTTACACAATATAAAAATAATAACCAGTCTATTAAATATACTTTAAATGGGTTTAATTGAACATTTATTGTCATACCCCCAAAATCAGGATTTGGGGTATAAGGAGCCGGGCAATGGGGCTATAAGTATTATCTCCTAGTTTAGAGTTTAGACTAACTCTGCAATAAAAATAATTAATTTCTAACCCCAAAATAGTTAATGCTGTGTACACACACTTTAACTGATTCTAGCTATCACTAGGCCCCAATGGGCCCAGTCTACAATTGATACAATTGCAGGTGTACATAGGGCCTCAAGTCTAGTAGTTTACAGTAGGCACATTAGTATGCCTAGTGTGTAGCTAGTATACTAGTGTGTAGCTGTCCAGAGTTAACATTCTTGTATGTAAAAAGGGGTGGTACTACCTAATCTGCCTTAATGCTTCCCCTGATAAGCCATGTGTGCTATACATTACATAACATGACATGGAGGTGAGAAATGTTGAGGGGAGAGCAGTGGTACTGGTTTCCCTTTTGTTCTCCTTGCTGGACCCTGAGGGCCATAAATTACATAAGGAGATGTTATCTCTGGTTGGCTGAGATCTAAGAACTTAGTCCATGTTACCTACAAAGAGATGAAGTTTTATGGTGGGTTAGATACAGGTGGGGTCAAGCTATCATGGAGGTGAGAAATTGTGAGGGGAGAGCAGTGGTACTGATTCCTCTTTGGTCTCCACCCTGCTATATTACATAACATGCCACCCCAGATTGTCTGAGATCTGTAACTGTAATCCATGTTACCTACAAAGAGATGAAGTTTTATGGTGGGCCAGAAACTGGTGGGGGCTGGGTATCATGGGGGTAAGAAATTGTAAGGGGGGAGCAGTGGTATTAATGTGTCTGTTTACTTCCCTGCTGGACCATGAGGGTCATAAATTACATAACATACCACCCCAGACTGGCTGAGACCTAAGAACATTTATTCCTGTTACCTAGAAAGAGATTAGAAGTTTTATGGTTGGTTAGAAACAGGTGGGGGCTGAGTCGGCTGTATTGCCCCTTAGGGGTAATAAGTACGTGTACCATTTAAAAAATTACCTGGCTAACATCAGATGGCTGAATTTTTACTTTTTAGCAGGTTAGAATTGTATTTCTATCATTTAGACACAAGTCTGTTTAACAATTAATACATTTTGTGTTAACTATTCCTATACCAGTGTCATATTCAGTGGTCTAATAAATGAGAAACTTGCACATAGGGTTTCAAGAGCCACATAACAGTATCTGTTATAACTTTTCTGAACAGGCAAGCTAGTGGATAAAATTAATGTATTCATGTAGATTTAGTTATTATCTAACAAATAAAACCATGATGGTAATGATCAGTCAATTTTTACTCTGATAATGATAAAAATTTTATAGCATGGTAAAATGGGACAAATGTCGGACATTTTGTTTTGGCACCAATAATCACTGTGCAAAAAAAATCACCAAAATAAAACTATTCTAGCCATAGCTATAAAAATAGTGTTAAACTGTACAACAACCAATGCTCTAATACAGGAACAAAGAATGGGCTTGAAAAACTCATTTGGTTTATTACAAAGTGAAGTTTCCCAAGTTATGTCTATTTGGAAAAAAAGTTCACAAAATGGTTATGTGGAGATGAGAAATTTTAGGGAAAGAGCAGTGGGATTAAATCCTGTCTCATCCTCTCCCTATTGGACCAAGTGGGTCATAAATTACATAAAATGAATCCTCTGCTTCTCTGTTATCAAAGAACAGCAGTGGTTGTTACCTCCGAAGTAGATTAGCAGTGTTATTGGTGGTTTTGTGGGGGTGGGGGTGTTGATTGGGGCTTAATACCACACAGCTCTTAACGCCCTCTATTACCCTATGTGTATGTTGTTAAAAATGTCGCATGATCTCACCTCTTTAGCTGCCCGAAGTTTTCTTCTTGCTTAATTGCCGGTGTTATCCGTATCCTCGTAATCAGCCTCGGCAGTTTCCGCCTGGTCCTCGGCAGTTTCCACCTGGTCCTCGACAGTTTCCGCCTGGTCCTCGACAGTTTCCGCTTGGTCCTCGGCAGTTTCCGTCTGGTCTTCGGGAAGGTACGGGGGGAACTCGAGCTCGATAAATTCCGTACCGACCTCGATCTCACTGGCGACGATGTCATGCGAGATCGAGTCCGACTGGGGAGAGTCCGAAGATGTAGGGGTGAGGCTGTATCTCACTTCCGGTTTAGATAATGAAGGATCTGTTCTTTGACTGCTGTCCATTTGGTAAAGAGGGGGGAAGGGGAGGGGGAAATAAAGGTTAATTACAAAATAAAATAAAATAGTTACAACTAATTTAACATATTTTAACTTAATACGTGGACAAGGCGAAAATAGTATCGCGAACCTCATCCGAGAAATCTGATTATCATTGCCCTAATACTGACGCTAATCTTGTTTTCTAGCTCTAATCTTAACCTTGAACCATTTCAACGACACCACTTTGAGAAAAGAATTGCCCCCACCTCTGACACCAATGTAACAGCAGTAATATTGTTGATGATATGATACTGTTGTTATTGTGGGTTCGTTCATCCAAGAATACGAGCAAAAGTGCTTTATAACTTCAAACTTTATTTACATGGGTCCAAGAGAAATAATAATAATATTCCACAGTAGAAAAATGACGTGGTGACATCTTACATCCTACTACACAATCACAGTCCAAGCCCACTTTCGTTCACCTTGCGCCCCCTTTTATACGGTCCATTCTCTCCCCTTACGTCAATGAGCGATCTCACCCAAAAGCATGGAAAAATACATGACGAGTCGCTCAGACAGTCCTTCCGCTAGCCAGGTGCTCTACATTCATGCAACTTCATGTAAAACACAATATGATAAACATACCTAATAATACAGTCTGTGACAGATACACCATTGAATCAATTGATTTCGATGGCATTAATAAAAGAACCGTGGACTTTAACAATGTGATACTCGTTTAGTTTACGACTATTGATAAGTAAACATTCCACATTGATAGTGGCACCTGGCTCTCCTGTACAAGTTGTACTATAATGTAGGCCTACCTCACATTTCGTTCCTTTAACTAACGATATTTCTAATCACCAAAAACTTTCATATTTAAAAGGTAAAAAGTATTATCTACTATTCTGAACACACAGTTACATGTCAGAGTTTAGAGCCAGTTACACGTCACCATAGAGTTTAGAGCCAGTTACACGTCACCATAGAGTTTAGAGCGAGTTACATGTCCGAGTTTAGAGCCAGTTACACGTCACCATAGAGTTTAGAGCCAGTTACACGTCACCATAGAGTTTAGAGCTAGCAACGCGACACACAAGACACGAACCCCGTACCTTTTTCTGCAGCCGTTGGTAGCTGTCGTGTCTTGTCGACTGCTGCCGGTTCCTGTGTTGCCGTTCCCTGCGTTGCAGTTTCCTGTCTTGTTCTGGCTTCCTATTTCCGTGATCACGGTGTCATTACATTTTCCGCTGGTAGCGATGATGGTTTTGTTGTCATCCCCCGCGGCATAGATCACCGTGTCGTTGCAGCTTCCCCGGGCGCCGATTAAAGTTTTGTTCGCATTCCCCGCGGTGTTGACACTGGTATCATTGCAACTCCCACCGGTGGTGATTAAGGTGTTGTTCGCACTCCCTAAAGCATTAACAACGGTGTCGTTGCAGCTGCCTTTGCTGGTGATGTAGGTGTTGTTGGCGTTTCCGCCGGCGGTGACCACCGTGTCGTTACAACTGCCGTCGTTGTTGACCACGATGTTGTTACCTATTCCGCTGACGTTGGCAATGATGTCATGGCAACTTCCCCTGATATTGACAGTGATGGTGCAGTCTTGACACGTCCCTTTGATGTGGATGTCGTTGCAGCTCCCGTAGCAGTTGATGTAGATAAAGTTACCACCTCCTGAGCCGAAGACTTTAACATCATTAAAACTTCCCTTTCCACTAAAATAAATGGTATTATTAGTTCCAGAGCCTTTGAAGCAACAGGTGTTGCCGCTACCTGATTCTCTGTGGACGATGGCGTTCGTAGTATTGCGACTGGCGTTTTCTTCTGCTACTGATAACTGTGACGCCATCTTGCGTAAGCTGACAACAGTTAGCAACCTTCCAAATCTATTATATAAATAAAAAAAACAAAAAAGTATATATATATATATATATATATATATATATATATATATATATATATATATATATATATATTTACTAGGCATGCTGCCCAGCTTCGCTTAGGCTTTCAAAAACATTGAGAATTTGAATGCTTAATTAATTCGCCCGAGGGTCGGTCTACGACCTCAGGAGTTATGAAGAGGTTCCTACGTGGACAAATTTTTTTCGATTTATAGCTCATATAAGGCGCCGGTCAGTCGAGGTCTGTTTTGACCCCCTCATCGTAGACCTTTAGGCCAACCGGCACCGGCCCCCGTGTTCTGTCGCCCCAAGGCAAAATCCTGCCAAATTTGAAGCGCCTGCGGCGCTGGGAAGTGCCCGATATCGGGCACCCAACAACTTTGCTTCATATATTATAGAGATTAGCAAATTGCATAGATAAACAAAGATTTCCAAAGTAGTTCCTTTCTTTATAGTCTAAAAAAAGGAAGATTCACATATAAAAAAAAATTAGGTTTTAAAATATGGAGAATAAAAGAAGTGTTTAAAAAAATAACTTACACGAATATGCCTATTTTTTCAAATTATTTTTTTTACCCAAAATTAGCCAGTTTCATTGCTAAACAAACACAGATTTCTATAAAATATTTAAGTCCTGAAAAAGTTTATTATACAAATTTATTTTTGGAAGAGATTCTACAGTAAATAGAGTCTAAATCTAGATCTAGAATAGATCTTAGCGACGTAGCGTCTAAGTGTAGTTTTTGCGCAGATTTAGATCTAGTCTAGATCTAGAATCTCTAGATCTAGAATCCAAATAGATAAAATATTTTTTTTAAGTTTAGGCCGAGAATATCGTATTGTGTAGACTACATTTCTTAGCGTACATAGCTCTAAATCATATTTGAATGAAATAGTTCTTTTTTTTTAAATTCTAAACTCGGAAGATGACGTCATCAGTTTCGTGCTCTTGTTTTAGTGTTTTAGTGTAAACAATAAGCGACGTCATTGTTAAATGCGTTCTTGTCAGAAGTTTATACACTTTTCCGGTTGCATAAATAATACTGTTTCTGTATATTCGAATACGCCTTTATTTTTTATTTTTCTTCTTTAAATAAAATTGTGGTTATACATTTAAAACATCTAACATATTATTTTCAACAAAAGTCCGTAAAAAAGTTCTCGATATATCGCTATAGATTCTGATGTGATGTCCGGCGAAAATATTTTGCGGACAGAGAGAGAGAGAGAGAAGGGCGAACGTGGCCCATTATAGATTTATATATATATATATATATATATATATATATATATATATATATATATATATATATATATATATATATATATATATATATATATATATATAATTTACTGAAAATGCTAAATATATGGTCCTCTTTTTAAAAGTATAAAGAGCAGGTTGAAGAATTCATGCAAAATATATGATGATCATTTGTAAACTCTCATCAGTAGATAGACGAACCCATGGGGACTGTGTCTATGAAAGCATGTTGAAAACGGAGAGATTTTAATGAAATAAAACTGCCATGGGGTATGGAATCATCTTGATTTTAGCTAAGGTTGCAAGTGTTTGGTTTATTTTTCAAAAGTATTGGAAGTTATGATAATGTGTTTGTTAAAGTTTAGTGAAATAGTTTTAACGGTAATCAATATTTTGAAGGAGAACTGAGTTATGTGAGATGTTGTTTGAATGTGTGGGTTGGAAGGTAGGTTACGAAACTGTTGACGCTTTTTTATAATGGCATTACTAGATCTAGAGTGGAATCGAGATCTACATCTTGATCTAGATTCTATATTTATAACATACTAGATCTATATCTAGATGTGAATATATATATATATATATATATATATATATATATATATATATATATATATATATATATATATATATATATATATATATATATATATATATATATATATATTGATCTAACTGATGCCTCAATCAATCTAAATACAACTCCTCTGCTAACAAGAAAACACAACTGATTTCTGGAAGAAATAATTTTACCCACATAATATAAACGTGACCATAATTAAAACCAAGACTTACTTATCAAGAAAAATGTATGGAAACTCCGACTTGAAATTTTATTCTGTACCATCCAAAACAACTTCTTGGTCTATGACGTCATACAGTTCAATACTCGGTTTTTTGCGTGCTTTTTCTAGATCTCAAATTGTATTTTTTCTGTATTCAAACATTTGCAGCATGTCTATCTGCCTATACATTTAATAAAACCGTTTTAATAACAAGCTTTCGTGTACTAAAAAGGAGAAAATAAATGATTTTCTAAATAATATTTAAATAATTATAAAAGAAAGCGTGGGTCTCATCTTAAGTTTTAGTAAAGGTATTCAATAGAGAAAGTCGTGACCCACGCTTTTCTTTATAGGGAAAATTATTTATTTTCTACCTTATAGTGCATTATTATCTAAAAGTCGTGTTATTAAAAAGGTTTTATTTTGTTTTTTATTTAAAAATGTAGATCTAAATATTTTTTGAAGTTTAATACGGTATATAATTGTATGACTAAAAACATTAGATCTACATCGCGGAAAAATAATACTTTAAATTGAAAAGGTAAACAAGGAAACGAATGGGCTTAATAAAACAACATTGCATTCTTTTCTTTTTATTACTTTCTCGTATATACGTAGTATAGAGAAAGTATTGTAATCGTGCAAAAAAAAAAAAATCGAGATTTTTACAAATCTCGACGTTTTACACCTCACTGATACGGAAAAAAATAATTTTGCAATCTTGTCCGTATGTCTGTGTGTGTGTGTGTGTGTGTCTGTCTGTGTGTCTGTGTGTCTGTGTGTAAACACGATAACTTGAGTACCGTTACAGCTAGGTTGATGAAATTTCATATATAAGTATTTTATCAAAATCGTAGATCCGTATCAACTTTTGAGCGATTTCCGATAACCGGAAGTGGTACTTTTTCTACTTTGAATTTTTCAAAAGCCTATAACTTGAGTACTATTTCAGATAGAGGAATGAAATTTTACCTGTAAGTAAAAGATCTAATTCTCTACCTTCTGTTAAATTTTGAGTAATTTCCGTTGACGGGAAGTACTAATTTACGCTATTTCCGATTTTTCAAAAACGCATCTACATTTATAAAGTACTAATAATATTGCGCACCATTATGAACATCTTTATTCGGAGTTCGCTTGGTGCGCAATACTTTTTTCTATGAGATTCTATTCTATTTTAAAAAGTTTAAGTATTTAAAATGGATTAAAAATCATAACTAGATCTATATCCCGAGTTCCCATCCCCTGTTGTTTTATATAAGAATATTCGAGAAAGTTTAGGGGAGATCACTCCCGGTTTATTATTAATTGGAAATATAGACATCGTGGCATTGTTTTCTGACTTATCGATGTGCGTGAATGATGTGGTGAACCCTGAACTGCCGAGCGAGTTATAATGACAATGTCTTCTAATTTTGAGCTATATTTAGATATAGTAAGTCTAGATAGACCGGATGTTATTGTTTCGAAATATTTTTTTCGGCATCACAGGGTAAAAATAAAACAGGAAATCAACTAAATGTAAACAAATGTCAAGGGCAATGGTTTCTCGGGGTATTTTCGACTTTCTTTCATGTGGTAGATTTTAACGTTTACATATGCTTAAGTTTTTAGTGGTGTAGTGTAGGCTTAATGGGGTAATCCATAAGTGACGCCACGCTTTTTTTTGATGATTTTTACCTCCCCCCCCTCCCCTCCGTCACACGTCGTCACAAAAAGCCAGACCCCTCCCCTAAAATGACGTCACACCTCAGCCTTCAACCCCCAGTCAAAATTGCTGTTGAAGTTTTCTTAAAACATCGATATGTTTCCAACATCTTGTTTGAACTCTGCTAACAAAGAGTATTTTGATCAATTTTTATTACAATTTATTATAACCGTTTTCTAAACCGCGAAATAACGGCTAAAACTTGTTTTCTAACATTGCTTTTTTATAATGCAAAAAAAAAAGTGACGACACACCATCTGAACCACCCCCCCCTACCCCTTATCACACACCGTCACAAAATTACGGACCCCCCCCCCATCCCCCCTACGAGTGTGACGTCATTTATGGACGACCCCCTTATTGTCAATACCGGTTAGCAATTATTTTTGTTTGATTAATGATGTCTTTTAAATTACTTGACGTGCCATTGACAGGAATTTAGTCTGTAAGCGTCAAGCGGGTATTTTAAAAGTCTGGTCACCCACCGATAACTGCTACAGGGCCCTTGACTAAATGCTTCGACCGTGTTCTTTAAACCTAGTGGAGCGGAACGAACAATAATTATTGTTCTATAAACCTAGTGGAGCGGAACGAACAATAATTATTGTTCTATAAACCTAGTGGAGCGGAACGAACAATAATTATTGTTCTATAAACCTAGTGGAGCGGAACGTAAATTGTTCTATAAACCTAGTGGAGCGGAACGTAAATTGTTCTATAAACCTAGTGGAGCGGAACGTAAATTGTTCTATAAACCTAGTGGAGCGGAACGTAAATTGTTCTATAAACCTAGTGGAGCGGAACGTAAATTGTTCCATAAGCCTAGTGGAGCGGAACGTAAATTGTTCTCTAAGCCTAGTGGAGCGGAACGTAAATTGTTCTATAAGCCTAGTGGAGCGGAACGTAAATTGTTCTATAAGCCTAGTGGAGCGGAACGTAAATTGTTCTATAAGCCTAGTGGAGCGGAACGTAAATTGTTCTATAAGCCTAGTGGAGCGGAACGAACAATAATTATTATTCTATAAGCCTAGTGGAGCGGAACGTAAATTGTTCTATAAGCCTAGTGGAGCGGAACGAACAATATTTATTGTTCTATAAACCTAGTGGAGCGGAACGTAAATTGTTCTATAAGCCTAGTGGAGCGGAACGAACAATATTTATTGTTCCATAAACCTAGTGGAGCGGAACGTAAATTGTTCTATAAGCCTAGTGGAGCGGAACGTAAATTGTTCTATAAGCCTAGTGGAGCGGAACGTAAATTGTTCTCTAAGCCTAGTGGAGCGGAACGTAAATTGTTCTATAAGCCTAGTGGAGCGGAACGTAAATTGTTCTATAAACCTAGTGGAGCGGAAAGTAAATTGTTCTATAAGCCTAGTGGAGCGGAACGTAAATTGTTCCATAAGCCTAGTGGAGCGGAACGTAAATTGTTCCATAAGCCTAGTGGAGCGGAACGTAAATTGTTCCATAAGCCTAGTGGAGCGGAACGTAAATTGTTCTATAAGCCTAGTGGAGCGGAACGAACAATATTTATTGTTCTCTAAGCCTAGTGGAGCGGAACGTAAATTGTTCTATAAGCCTAGTGGAGCGGAACGAACAATATTTATTGTTCTCTAAGCCTAGTGGAGCGGAACGTAAATTGTTCCATAAGCCTAGTGGAGCGGAACCTATTATCTAGGCCTGCGAGAACAGGCATGCTCTGTGTTTTACTGCTGTAGCAGTGTCAAGGTCGTGTATCTGTGGATTCGAATTAGTTGAGTACTCTGATAAGTTTTCTCTCGTGACCAGCGCAGGCCTCACATCCTGCAACTGGTCAGACGGAACTACCTTATTCAAGTAAGGATGTTCATAGGCCGCCATGGCAGCTACAAGGGTATCTCGAGAGCTCTTAGTTTCTGTCATTCGTTTGGAGTATCCGTATAAGATGTTGAATACGCCTTTGCCGGCCTTGAATGAACAAACGTCTCCCGAGGTTAGTATGAGCCTTCTTACATAAAAGGTTATCTATCGGCCACTAATTGGGGGTCATCCATTAATTTCACGCTTCAGTTGAAAAATGATATACGGAAAACCCCCGCGAAATCAAGGAGAACGGTACATCCTTGACAGAACACTAAGTGTCGGACTCAGCCTAGGGTACGTTAAAGACGTCAGCTCCGACACTACCACTGCCATGTCGCCCTGGGTCGTGACGTCACTTCTCGTTTAAAGTTGCTGGTGACCTACCACCCAGATCGGGTGGTTGCCGGGGACATAAAATTACCCGCGCGGATCAAAATTAACAGATCAGATTTTACTCACCTGTATGATGTGGTATGACAAATTCAGCAATACTAAACCAGCTAACATCAGACTCCATTGTTGAAAGAGTTACAAGAAAGGGGGGACAATTAAACGTTTTAAAGGTTTTCTTTAATTTACGAGTGATATCCCTTCGTCTGCGCCTTAGCTTAGCACACCGTTAAATAATAATCATTAAAAAAGTTTAAAAAAAACCCACGTTTTCTGATTGAACTAAAAAGTAGAAAATAAATGCTATAGGCCCTACATCACAATAATGCAAGCGATCACTCTACTATAAGCGATGAAAAACGTGGGGCGCCGAAGTAAAAGTTATATTACTATTGATTAGATAATACTATTGACTTTTATTAGGGAGCTTGTAGAGAGTCAACAGTATTAGAAACTGTAAGAAAATCACGGCGCCCCACGTTTTTGCTCGCTTATAGTAGAGTGATCGCTTGCATTATTGTGATGTAGGGCCTATAGCATTTATTTTCTACTTTTTAGTTCAATCAGAAAACGTGGGTTTTTTAAAACTTTTTTAATGATTATTATTTTCTACTTTTTAGTCTTTGTCTGTTTGTTTGCATTAAAATCTTGCTATCGATTTTATCTTTTCACTTTTTTTGGGTAAACGAAGACAACTCGTAAAAAGACAACTCGTAAAAAGACAACTCGTAAAAAGACAACTCGTAAAAAGACAACTCGTAAAAAACACGTTGTTTGAATACGTTACTGACTAGAACACATAGATTCGAACCCGTGTCGAGTGGGATAGCAATCGTGTGCCCAACCACTCGACCATATCGTCTCCCCCAAACTGGCCTACCTCCTGTAAGTTTAAACTCGGTTCAAGCTAAATTCTCTGCCCCTAAGCCTGTGGCGACATGTGATCGTTCGCTTCACTGCGCGCGAGGTACGCGTCGCTGGTTTTTTTTCTAATGGCTAGCAGAGGAGAATTATATATATAGATTATATAGCGGTCTAAAATGCTCAATAAAATGTTTCCATTGATCAATTTAGTAATAATAACAATTGAATATTCAATGGTCATCCAAAAGAAAGCTTCCCTGAAAATTTCAGCGCGCTAGCTAACTG